ACTAATAGAGAGGAATAGTAGTAAAAGTATTTTGGTGTTTTAAGGGAACAGGCATGAAATCCTGTGGTGTTGCCAAGTTAACGATAACGTGCATTGAGTATTAAAGATTAGCCTGTAAGCTGTTGTGTATTAGATGGAAATACATGGATCGCTTCTGATGTTCAACAGGGTGAAAATCTGAAAGAAACTTCTAGCTTTTATTAGAAAGGAGGCTACTCCAATTAGCATGGGGTGATAATCGTTTTAAGTACACAGTGCACTGTTAAGTATACAGAGAAATTCATAGCTGACACTTCAGTTTTCTTATTTTCATTAAATTAATATACTGTGCTCCTTGATCAAGTGTGAGGTTTCTTCTTTGTTTTGTTTTACTTTGTTGTTAAGTTTGAGAGAGCAGTAAGCTCTGTAGTTGCTTCTTCCAAGTTCCATGATGGAAACAGAGTGCTTCTTGTTACTGTTCCATACTGATTATTTTTTCCGTAGTTGCTGTAATGTATACATTGAGAAGACCTCTAATTATGTAGTTGCAGTTATATAATATCTTCTACTGTGATAAACTTTCATATTACAATCTGCCATTTTTTTTGTACATATTGTGCTAACTTTGTAGTTACTTAAATGATGCTCTGTACAAGTAATTTTGACCTCGCTTGGACTAATGGGTGATTGCTGGATGAGTGAAAGTGGATTTTTGCATCCCTGACACATTTCACATGCCTGTTTCAGAGCGCTTCCAAATAATAACACGGCTTCCTGGCACACTTGTCAAGTTGGCAACATGATTTGTATGCAGGTGTAACAGAGAGAGATGCAAAAACATCAGGTCTCTTGGCAAAGGCCACTGCTACCTGCAGCAGCTGGAACCTGCAAGGCTTCACCTCGTGTTCCCCGTCCCAGCATTGCTCGATTAGCCCCGGTGCTGAAACTTGTAAGGAGCAAAGAGCTGCTAAATAAAAAACAGGTTTTGAAAACGAGTCTGAAGGCTGGGAGGGTTAACTCTTATACCATTAAAAGTTAAAATAAATGTAAAACTCTACTAGCCTAGTCAAGTTATCAAGGCAAACTTGGATGGTTACGCTGTGCACCTGAGCAATGCAAGTGCTGTCATCATAACTTGAGTGGTTGCTCTCTATCTTTAAGAGTATGGGAGAAATCATAAAACGGGTCATAAAACAGCAAGGTTAGAGAAGACAGATGCCCTGCCTATTTATAATACATTATTTTCCTGTCACTGTTGCCTAGTGTCTATATCATCTGTTGTTAGAGGTGCTTAGTGTGTAGCCAATACTGCACTTTGCCCTGAGGATCCTGATCTGTTGGATTTGCTGTATCACAATGAAGAGGAAAGTTTGCCATTTAAATGTGATTTAAATTGTGATTTAAATAATAAATATAATCCCTCAGCACTGAGAACAGGGTGCTTTGTGTTTCCTATGGCTGCAGGCTGCAGTTGTTATGGAGACTGAGATAAAAATCACCCATGTTCTGGTTTCCTCTGGATCAGGTTACGCAAGGACTAATGTATTAGGGACCTTTTTAATCCTGACTTTGAGTGAAGAGCAGCTCTACTCACGTATTTGAAATCAGGGATCAATTTAAGTGTCATCCTAAGCCATTTTATTTGTCAGTGCTCCTTATCAGCAGCCTCAATATTCACCATTCTTCTGCTCTTCTTGTTTTTCCTTTCATCCTTAAGCAAGAGAGGAAGAGTTGGTGTCCAAGAGCTGACACATGCTGGAATAATTTATGAATGGAAACATTCTCCTAAATGGGAATAATGAGTGTTTTCTGCTGAACGGCTTTTACTTATTGAAGTGACTATCCTGCCTATTGATGCAGGGCAAGTCATCAGGAGAACACTAGAGTGCTTGCGTCCTCAATGGAAGGGGTTTAGTCTGTGCAGAAGAGATTTGTGAAACTTTGCAACTTGCTAAGAAAAAAATGTGGTCTTTAAAATAATACTCTAATTTTGAACGTTTCAGTTTGGCATTAATTTGGGGTGAGAAATCTCTCCCTATTGAAGCAGTAGATAAACTTACTTGGGGATAGGATTTCCTCCTCTTTGAAGAGAAATCTTGGGAAGTATTTACGTTAAAGAGGAGGGCATATACTGTTGCTGTGTTGATTAAGGAGGATTAACTTGTAAATGGAGTAGTTCCTGCATAGTGGAATGAGGGGATGGGGAACCTGTACCATGCACATATTACGTTATCGCTTGTTTTAATATTCTCTGAGGATCCAGCTCTTGCTGTGACCCTCACACTTAACCATACTCCTCACACACAGGGAAGACAAGCCTTGCCTCTAATAAAATCCATTGAGAATCAATGAGGACTACTTATCTGATGTTCAGATGTTTATGTGGGAATCAATTTCAGATGTTTATGAGGGGAAGTAATAACTGTAAAATCTGCTCAAACAATTGACTGAGAAAACTTGCGTTTCTGTCGTTGTTCTTACTGGCTACCTAGCTTTATTCACAAGTTCTTTCCTCTATTCAGAAGCATTCTTTTCTAATGGCTGTACATATTAATAGTGAACAGGGAAATTGAAGTGCATGAGTTGAATGCATGCTTGTGCATAGGTTTCTACAGAAGTGCACTGTTGTATTTCAATAAAAAAACAAGTTCTTTTTCCTTCTTTCTTCTTTATATAATGAGAGAAAAGGGGAGACATCCCACACAGTTTTTAGGTTTAAAGTAGATGACAAAAAAGAACTGTTTTTGGGGGGAAATCAGGCTTCACTAGGAAACCTGTACTGCATAATTTACACACACGGGGAGAGAATAGAAGATTTTATAGAGGTTTCTTATGTTCAAAACCTTTGGATATGATAGAATTGAGCTCGCCACTTCACTCACTGTCCCTTTTGTGTGTGTACATGCCTTAATTTCAAGGCCTTATTAAGATGGGGCAAGTGACATTGTGACAATGTTGTGCAACCAGTTCCTTGAGACAGGAGCTGCTTTTTTTTTCCCCCTAAGGCTGTTCAGTGCCACTGTAATAGTAAGTGCTAGAAGCAAGTTTCGTTTGGGGTGTTTCTAGCATTGCCTCGGTCAGGGATGAGGATTTCATCTGGGATTTCAGCTCTCAAGCTGGAGGCAGGGGTAGAATAAAGCTCTCCAGGGCCTTGCACGCTGCCTTTGCTGTGAAATTGGCTTTTTTTCTTCTTATAGCTGCCTGTCTCTTTGCTATTCCCACCCTTTATAGCCTCTGTAAGATGGTGCTTGTGCAAACAGCAGTGCATTAACCTGCACAAATGTGATTCCTGCTTAGAAACTAAGGTACTAAGGTAGAAGCTATGGATCCTGTTCCTGAGGGAGAGGAGTATGCCACTGTGTAAAGTGGGACTATTGCAACATATAGAGATAAAATAGATGAATTAAGGCCACTTAAGTAATTTTAATTCTTTTCCCCAAAGTTATGTGATCCTCCCTCATCTATATGTGCATATGCAAACATGCACACAGAAATTCCTATTTTAAATTCTACCCTTGGTGCCTTTAATGCCTGTTCAATTTGTTGGATTCGAAGCCCTAAGAGCCCCCAGCAGTCCCTGCTGCGGGGATCCCTGGGAGCAGCTGGAGTGTTGGCAGCAAATTTGGGGCTGCAGCAAGGGGGAGCACGTAGTCTCCTGCCAACTTCCATGTTGGCAAAAGAACACAGGAGTCTGGGCTTTAAAATCAAGTATTCCTCATGCTTCTCATATAGCTTAGCTCACTGTGCAATCCCTCCTCCCTCTAGAAGTATCTTTATATGTCTTTTCATTTCTCTTAATGCACTCTTTTAATTGGAATGTGAAGTAAATGCTGCCGTTCTGTAAGTGCAGGAAAGTGCTGCTGCCCTAGATCCTTCCTGACCACGTTTCCAGGCGGGAATAATGCCTGGGAAGGCGGTCACCTCTGGGAGCCATAGGAGACCCTCTGCATTTGATGGAAAGAAACCGGCCCCTCTCCTTGAGCGTGTGCTGAAATAACCCCCCTGCTCCGGAGGGCGGTTTAGACGCTCCCTGTTAGGTGTAGGAAATATCCCCCTCCTGAGGAGGAGGATGCCAGTATTGCTCCGCATGCCATCTTCTGCAGTCTGCAGGGTGAGGCCTGGGCTTCCCGCCGGGAATGGTGCTGGGGCTGCGGGGCAGGCGCTGCCCCCGCTCCCGGGCTCACGCTGCGGAGCCGCCGCTTGCCGCCTTTGGAAGTTGGGTGCTCTTCTAGCTGGCGGCTGTAGCCGCGCGCCAGGTCGGCAGTGCTGCGTGCAGTGGCAAGAGAAAAAGCCGGAATTGCTTCCCTCCTCGCTGAGCTGCTCCTCCTGGGTTACTTATCTTCCCTTCAGGAATTTGGTCATTTGCTAGTTTTTTTTTTTTTTTTTTTTTTTTTTTGGTGGCGGGGGATACTTTCTGGATCTCTTTGCACACAAGGATATGGAATGCGGAAGGAGGATTAGTGAAAAGGGATGCAGTAAGTAGCGGGGCTCCTTTCGTTTTAGGCTGGCTTCTTGTCTTGTACGTGTCTTGTGGTTGGTTTGTTTGGGAAGTTGGCAACAGCTGGAGAAAGGGAGACCCGGTGCGGTCAGGTGGAGCATTTCACTTCTCTTTTCTTGATCTCCTCCCCTTTCAGTACTCCTATTCTTTGTGGTATTTTTATTTTATTTTCCACACAGCAGTAAGGTTATTTTTGTGCGATTGCTTTGTTGTGCTTTTGTGTTTTCCCCGGGTTATGAGTGTCTGTTTATGCAGTTGACAGCAGACTAATCTGTGACTAAGCGTTTTCCAGGAGAAGTTGCAATATCCCTAAGCAGTTTGTTTTACCGATAACAAAAACTGAGTCTGAGGTTTGTTCAATACTTTAAGGATCTAGAAGTAAATCAAGACATGGTGAAAGTGGCTGGAAACTCAGGTCTCCATCATGGGGTTGAAGGGAACACGTACACCGTTAAGGTGCTGATCACGAGGGGCTCCAGTAGATATGCATGTTATCCATCCCATGCTTTTTTTTCCCCCTCAGGTTGAATTTTCCTATCCCCCGCTCATGCCCGGAGAAGGACACGACAGCCACAGTTTACCAGAGGAGTGGAAATACCTGCCCTTCCTCGCTTTGCCCGATGGCGCTCACAACTATCAAGAAGGTGGGAAACCAGAGGGGAAAGTGGCACGTGCTGCTGTCTCCTTGGTGTCCCTAAAGTACCCAAAGAGAAAAGTCCTAATATCTGATAAACCATTCTTTGTGCTATTAGATCTCCTGTACTTTGCATTTTTGTATAAGCTTCAAGGTACCTTGATAATGGTGCATGACCTCAAGGGTTGAAGGGAAAATATATCATGAAAGTTCATTTCCTACATCAAGAAATCAGCAGTCAGTAAAAGCTCAGTTTAAGGGTTGTGTATCATTTGTGTATATATACTCTTAACACAAAACAAGAACACCAAGTATCTCAAAAATATTCAAAAGGAGAAGACCTTCTTAAGAGACCTCTTAGGTTTTAACCTAAATGCAGTTTTGAGGTAAGGAGAAAATGAGATTCTAGCATTCATCTCTGTAACATGTGTAGTTATTATGGTATCTGTTCCCACACTAACTTGGTGATGATTGGAGTGACCTTTAAGGATGTGCAGAGCTCTCATCCTCGTGCAGGATGGCATTTGTTGAACACAAGTAAATAGAAAGAGAAAGAGCAGGAGCTTTAGTGCTGGGAGCTTTAGTGCTTCCGTCTGCAGGACAGAAAGACAGAAGGATTATTTTGCAAGATCATTGCTGAAGCCCAGTGTTCCTGGGAAATGTTGACAATAGATCATGATGATGCTCTTCAAGATATTTGAGGAAAAAAGAAATAAAGGGGCCTTCTTTGTATTTGACATTTCTTTGTATTTGACACCAGTTCAGCCTTTGCAGTTTTATGATCATTTTTTTCTGCACAGCAGTGAAGAAAGAAACCACATGAAAGAGCAAAAGAGCAAAACAAAAAAAAAAGAAAAAAAAAGGAAAAAAAAAAAGAAAGAAAGACTTTTAATGCTACTAATAAGGTTTTTAGCTTTAGGCACTCAGTTTTCTAATCCTTCACCTTCCAGAGATTCATTTGGATATAAAGGAAAATAATTTCTTTCCTAGCAGCAGTAAGAGTCAATCTGACTCTCTGCTTGGTGATGTTTTTATTCCATATCTCCATCCTTAAATCTTCCATGAGCAATAGGATACATTGAGAGCTAGGCTCTAGAATCCACCTTGCTTTCCTGCAAGATGCTTCAGTACTATGCTGGTTAGTCCTGACTTACTCTGAAGGTTGTTAATGTGTATTTTTTGGTAAGAAAAAAACTGATACGGCAACCAAACCAATGTAAATCTTTCTATTTTATAGGGAGGAATAAACATGAGCTTGTGATTGGTAAATGCACTTCAGATAGTTATCTTCTATAACTTGTAGTTGTGTGTTTACTTTGCTTTGAATGGCAAGCAGAATCATAATGTATTTGGCTAAAACTCGGGCTGCTGTCAGAATATCTGTATTAGCAGTGCTGGAGCTGCCCCCCAAAGGCATCTCACAGTTTGGGAACTAGTTTTAGCGATTTCTAGAACATTTCTATTAAGAACATATTTCTAGAGGGCTCTTGTTTTAGCACAGCTTTTTGCACTCAAAAAAGTACCCAGCATTTTCAGCAGTAAACCTTTTATAAGCAAGTATAAAAGTAGTGCTGAAAATGAAAACACTGAATATTCCCATTGTTAGTGACTTACAAGATATTTTTTTTCTTCTTCATAGATACAGTGTTTTTCCACCTGCCACCAAGATGTGGGGATCGAACCACAGTATATGGTGTCTCTTGCTACAGGCAGATTGAAGCCAAGGTAACTTTGCAAGCTGAAAATAATATCAATGCATTGATACGCTTGGTGTGTGGTAGACTCAGAGATTCACTGGCTTGTGTTATAGCAACTTTCAGGCAGGTTGGGTGGAAGCTGCTTGGATGTCTCCATTGCATGGCTGGGAAGTGTTCGGGTGTTTCCTAGGATCTGACCATGCCAATGTTGGGATGTTCTTTTTCATGTATGCCCTTTAGTAAAAGTACGTTTGTGAAGTGGACCTTGTGAGGCCCCCCATTCACCAGATGTGGCTCTAGAGCTGCTCTCCCAGTACAGGTAAAGGGAGGGAGCTACCCACTATATGTGATCTCACCTTCAGGAAACTAGTTGAAGTGCTAGAATGTGTCCACGTTTTCTAAAGTAACAGTGATAGTGTGAGCTATGCAACTCTGAAAAGTTTTTACAGATTTCTTTAGAAATCTGCCCTTTCCAATGAAATGTCAAGGATCTGGAATGCCAGGTCCTAGATGAATCACAACTTTGGGAGATGCAAACTATGTGCTCTTTCAGTCTTAACCATACCTTGATTATACATCAAGTTTCTCTCTATGCTCCAAGAATAAATTTTACAAATGCAGATTTATATTCTTGTTTCTTGTGTTGAGTTTGGTTTCCTCACAATGTTTGCAGACAGGCTTCACTGTTCTGTATTCTGTGATTAAAGTTATGTTATATTCAACTCTACAGTTGTTTTAACGTGGCTTTATTGCACTCTTGGTTCTAGTTCATGCTTACTAACCAATTAAGAAGAAAAATAGATTTTTAAATTGAACTGTTTACAACAAGCAGAATATGAAACAATGTGTTTTATGCAACAACTCCAGCGCTCTTTCCATCTGGCTTTTTGATGAGTGGGCTGCAATCTGCAGCTTGCTGTTTTGTACAGCAAGTGATTAAGTGAGTCACTTGGCTGTATTTCTGTCCCTGCCTTTTCCAGCTTTGCTGTTAAGTGCTGGGGCCATTTGGTCAGGCTGAGAAAGTAGTTGCTTGTGCAGATGAAGTTCTCCGAGTATAAAGCAAACCAACCAAGCCAGGCAAAGGCTTTTCAGCCTGGTCTGTTTGCACAAACAGTGCTAGAGAAGATCAAGTGATATGCTGAGACCTCTTTTCTTTTGCTTCGTTTCCCTGAGTTAATCAAGTCGTTGCTTTATCCTAATTCTTTTAAATGGTCCTGTGCGTGTCATCACAGTCGTCTCTGGGTCTTTGCTGCGGACAATTTGCTTTGCTGTGGGATGAGAGCTCAACCGACCAACAGCGTTGTGGCCGTTTGTGCTAGATCAGGGTTATACTGTTACATGGCTTGGATTTTCCACCACTGAAGGCAGTCACTCATAGGATTTTATTTATATAGGGGTATATGATAACTAGGTCTGTGAAAAAAAATGTTTTTGAAATTGGATATTGGTAAAAATATTCTAATGCTTCTGTTCCTTAGGCGTTAAAAGTCCGGCAAGCAGATATCACTCGAGAAACAGTGCAGAAAAGTGTCTGTGTTCTCAGTCAGCTGGTAAGGATGCTTGTTTAACTCCCAAAACACTTCCAAAGAACATTTTTTTTATTGATTTGTTTTCTTATTTGGAAACTTTTGTCTCTAAATGCTGTTTTTTTTTCTTAATCATTGCAAAGTGTAACAGAATGAACAGTGTAGGGCAAGTGATTTAGAAAGCCGTGGCATTTGAGTGTGCTGCCTTGATTTGGTGTCTCCTTAAAGAGTAATTGTAAAATTGTCTGCATGTTGTCAGGACTTGGGATATCTGCACTTATGACAGTTCTTAATACTAATAAATAATACTAATATTAAGGATTTGGTTAATAAGGAATAAATAAGTAACAAGATAAGCAATAACTAAGTAATAATGAGTAGTACTAATAAGTAGTAAATGATAAGTGCTAACTCTTAAGTTCTTTATTTCATGTAGTAGGATTTGGTGGGTTGGTCGTTGCAATACCTGGAGTAAGAAGCCATTGATGACTGTCAAAGAGGTTTTAAGATAGTCTATACATAGCTGACTGTTTTGAGGGGACATGTTGTACATACACACCTGTTTAGCAAGAGCTACCAATTGCCCGACAGGTAAAAGAAACTTCTGTCAGTGCCTGGAGCTGAATTGAGGACCGTTCTGGCCAGTGTGTGAGCTGTGTTAGGCAGAAAAGTACTTCTCCAGGAAAATGTTCAGTGATGATGTAGTGTGTACAAATGGACAGAAAGGAGACAAAATTCTTCTACCATTTGAAATAAGCACAGAAGACCCTGCAATTTGACAGTCTAGAGCTTTTGCTCTTGAAAATGAGCTGTATCTCTAGTCACATGTCTATGTTGCAAGACAAGAATGAGAAAAGACTGAAATTTAAAATAGGTTACTTAATACATTTTCCTCACTTGCTTCTTATCTGTTTTTTTTTTTTTTTTTTCTCTTGTTTTTTTTCCCCCCAAGCCTCTGTATGGGTTACTTCAGGCAAAGCTGCAACTCATTACACATGCATATTTTGAAGAAAAAGACTTCTCTCAAATTTCAATTCTGAAGGTAAAGTGTAAACCACGTTCAGACAGAGCAAAGCTTTCGGTGTACGGCCACGCGCTTTCAGGTTTTTAGGGAGTGACTGCTTAGACACTCTGTTTTTCATAGGTGATTCTGCTATTTAACTCAATTAATAAATGACAAGAACTAAATGAACTACCCAAATCCGACAGAGGGTCAGCATTCTGTTTTGTAATAAAATGCACATTGACCATCGTAGGATGCTCGTTCTTGCATCTCTATTAACTCCCTTAGTATAACTTTCCTTTTTCCTGAAATAAACTGATGAAATCCTTGAGATGGGTCATTTTTATTTATTCAGAATTCTATGTGACCATATGGCATTAATGCATTCTGGGTTTTGGTTTTGTTCCAACTCTTACAGGAGCTCTATGAGCATATGAATAGCTCTCTGGGAGGAACTTCATTGGAAGGGTCGCAGGTTTATCTCGGTAAGCGACCTTTTGTACAAGCAGCAGATAAGTGAGTGTTACACTAACCAACACATTTGCTTTTTGGCCTAATCTGCTTCCGTGCATCAACAAATTAAGCACCAGAGGTTTGTGTGCCTGCACAGTGTTCTGTTCTGCTTTCCTTCCTTAATGAATTTAAATAAATGACAAGTACATGCTGTGTTCCTTCTGTAACAGCACATAGGTTGAGAGCTGTGCTGCATTGCAGCTTGACAGCTTGACAAACGACAGCTTGACAAACGCTCAGCTGCGTTTGGAAAATGGCACTTTCTTAATTTTGAGGTGAAACCATTTGTTGGGATGTTCAACCTTTCACAGACCTATGGTTTGGGAAATCTCCCTTATGACTCTAGCTTTTTCATGTGCTTTCTGAATGCATAGTGTAGGATTTAACAGTTTCCATAAAGCTATGCTGCAGCCAGCAGGTGTAACAGAGTCTGTTTACTTACATTGTTACTGCCTCCATTGTAGCTCCTGCTCAAAAGGAAGCGAATTTGGTATTACTTTCCTTAACAAAATAACTAGATTCACATAGAGTGCACAGTTCATTTGCCACTTGGAATCTGCTAGCTATTAAACTGGAATAATGGCTTTCTTCTGGTTATTGCAGGTCTGTCTCCTCGGGATCTTGTTCTTCACTTCAGACACAAGGTATGTTTACCTGGCAGTATTATAATTATAAAATACAGCCTGATGATGCCCTGCACAAATTTTGAGGAATAAAATGTTTTGTGAGCAACTGAAAAATAAACATGTACTAGGAGTGAAGCTTTTCCGTTAGGTTTCTAGTTACAAGCTTCCAATTTCCCTTTGCCTGCTGTGTATACCCCTTCAGGAGAGATCAGTTCCAGAGGAAAAGAAAAAGTTGTCCATTTCTTTGTCTGTCTGGAGACCTCTGGGGTTTTTGTGACTTTTTTTTTTTTTTTTTTTTTAAGTCATATCCCAAAGTTCAAATTCTATCTCTCTTTCCTGCTCCTTGCCAGAGGGACAGGATTGGAAGATGTTGCAGATGTCCTGCAAGGCACGAACACCCTGTTCCCTGTGTTTTGTGACTTTTTCAGCTCCTGCCATCATAACACATGGGGGAACTTCCCTTCCCTGTTTTCTTGATGGCTATTGAAATACAAAGTCTTGAATTTCTTACTGAAATGCTAAGTTAAGTTAAAAATAACATTTGGAATCTTTTTTGTTTTTCTTTCTTTTTATTAACTGAGAGGCATCAAGGAAACAAAGATGAGAAACTGGGATAATGATATTTTTGCATATGCACGGTAGATATTTTTGAGGGTAGAACTAGTTTTCATTTCACTTCAAACATCCCAGTTATACCCTAGAAATGTCTATCTGTTTTCTCTGAGTGAAAGGAAAGCCTGGACAACCCTCTCTGATCTAGGTTTCCCATTTGTAGAGGTCTAAAATGAGGAGAGGTAAGTGCTCTTCCTAGCAATCTGCTGAATTCATGTATGTGTTTCCATGGAGGAGCCTCTTCTCTTCTTATATAGTTTACTGTTTTTTGAAACTCTGGAGTGATAACATATGTCCTGACTCATAAATAGTGTTTTATGATTCAGAGTATGCAATTCCCATTGGTGCAGTTCTTTTTTTTTACACCTCAGATGCTGTTTGAATGTTCAGATGGAGAAAGGCTGTGAGGCCTCTGTTTTCTATTGGCTGAATGTATTTGACAGCTTAGCCAATAAAGTCAATAACCAGTCTTAAACTGTGAATAAGACAAAGTTTCTACAGTGTTTTTGATAAACGGCAATGATTCACTCTCCATGTTCTTCATTTCTCTCTTTTTCAGGTCTTGATCCTTTTTAAATTGATTCTTCTAGAGAAAAAGGTAACCTTCTGCAGGCCAAGGCAGAGAATTGAAATAGAAATGTAATTGTTATCTTTCATATGAAAGATAGCAGATAAAATGTACCAGTGAAAAAATAAGGATTATTTAAAGGTACTTCTATATGCATATATACATTTGCATTTGGAAACTGTGTTCTCATTAACTGTTTTGCATTAATATAAATTAGTTTTTATCTCTTCTGTACATACTCTGCCTTATTAGTAACTGTCCCAATGAAAGTTAAGTAAAATGTGTTTAAGTGAGTGGAGAAACTATGTATCATAAAAAGACAGGAGCATCATGCAATCAGGAATCTACTCTAAATCCAATTGGAAATCCAGTAAGATTTTTGTGGAACATCTCTATTGATATGTTTGAAAGCTTACACTCCATCACAATAGTTCAGCACTTGGGCACATGTAAACAAAATACTTAACTGAGCTACAATCTGTTTTTGAAGCTGCACAAAGCACGAGACACAAATGCACAGGAAGAGCAGAGAGCAGCTTTCCTAAGCTCCCATGCTCATGTGACTCAGACATATGAATCTGATTTGAAAGTAACTGGGATTTTATTGAATAAAACTGTGAGCCTGGTCTGGATTTTTGTTTTGTGTTGTTTTTCCGTAAGCCATAACAGGAAGAGAACACTTGCAACTTCAAAAGGAAGAGATTGCTTCCTTCCAGAGTTTCCTTTCTGACAGATGTTAAGGTTTCAGAATAACTCTGAGGAATCTGGACGTTCAAAGATGTTAAAAGCAAGAAGCTGTTAATATGGTAGTTTGCTTGGAGCAGAAAAATGCCTGGATGCTACAGACTGGTTTTGCATTAATCCCTAGCAATTTGCTTTCAGCAGGCCAAAGGAAACTTCTTTTTCGCCCCTCAGCTGCTATTAAGCTGAGAGACCACGTCCAGATGGCAATCATCTGCTTTCTGCTGCCAGAACCACCCAATTTGCTGATGCAAATTTTGTAGACTTTATAAGAAGATAGGGAGGGCTATGGAGATATGTACCCATACAGATGGACACGTGGCAGAGGCACTGAAAGTGTAGAAAGTTGATCTACTTAAGTACGCCATATAAGAAAGTAAATGTAGGGAGGCTTCTTGGAAGGAGATACTTAATAAACTTGTTTATTTTATTTCTGTTATATTGGCTGGGAATGCAAAATAATCTGATAATCTTAAACTGAAAGGAATATTGTTAGGCTTCAGCTGTAATTCCATGCTATTGCATCATGTATTTTTTAGTAACTTATTCAGCAGCTTCTCAAAAGAAACCAGACTTTTTTTTTTCCCCATTGGTGTCAGTGTTTCCACGTGAACAGCCTGTTTTTCTCATCATGCTATAGGCTTTTTCTGTGGCTGTTGCAATACATCTTTTCTGGAATGCAGAGCAAAACAAATTGTACCGGGCGCTGTACGTGGCGCACTCTGTCTCCAGCTGGGATTCCATCAAACGTCACCTGATGTGTTGGGACTCTCCTTCTCTTGGGTCCATTGGGTCAGGGGCTCATGGACTTGAGCATCCTGGTGGATCAGGAGTCACTTATCACTTCTAACAAGTGACTCTAGCTTATAATAGATATTTTGGCTTCTGACTTTCAATAGAAACAGTCTTTTATGCACAAAACTAAGCAATGATATATGCAGCATTCCAGGAACACCCTTTGTCTGTCAGTCAGGGAGATTTTTTTTCCCCTAAAGTTGATCCAGTCAACATGGGATCAAGTGATCCAACTGCAAACAAGTTATATATGTATATGCATTCAAATATTTACTTTTAAAAACTGTTTCTAAGAGCTTTTGTTGGTGAACAGATGTAAAATGGAAGAAAATGCTTTTGACACCTTGCATGCGCTTTATCTGTCATGTGCAAGCCATCATTTTGATTTTAACTTTTTTACTCTCTTTTCCCTCCCTGCCCTTTTCCTTTTGATCCTCCTGCCACCACCAGGTGCTGTTTTACATTTCTCCAGTAAATAGGTTGGTGGGAGCTCTAATGACAGTCCTGTCACTCTTTCCTGGTAAGAGGAAACATTTGGAGTTCTTAATGTGGTTCCTGTTCGTGACTGAGACTGACTGTGCTCTTCTGTATGGAAAACAGTTTGTGTGACAGTTCTGTTGATTACATTGCCTGAAAAAAAATGGGGTAACTTGAATTCTTGTCTGTGTAGTATGGACGCATTTCCCAATGCTTATTAAAAAAAAAAAAGAGAGAAAGGAGGAAAAATCCTTCCCTAGGTCATTCTTGAATCCTATCCATACTTCCCAAAGCAAAAATTTGGGGCAGATTCTTTGGGAGAGAAGGTTTGACTTTCAAAGTAGTGTTCTGAAGTCTGTGTTTTCTAGTGTGCACAGAAGAGCATTTCCTTCATTGCCTTCAAGAATTAAAGTCATTTTAGCGTGTAATAAGATGCTGATATTCCCATGTGATTCCACTCTGCAGGTATGATTGAACACGGTCTTACTGACTGCTCGCAGTATAGACCACGGAAGAGTGTTTCAGAGGACGCTGCCTCGCAGGAGACCGCTCCACGGTTAGATGATTATGTTTCTGTGTCCACTGATGATGTTTCAAATACGAACCTGGGAATGGGAAAGGGAGGCAGAAGGAAAGCAGGAGAGCATTCGCTGGAAGGTCAAAAAGCCCATGTGCCTTTTCCCCAGTCGGAGAAGCCTTGCAATGGAGCGCAGCCCTCCAACGGTGCCGTGCAGCGCTTGAAAGTTCCTCTCCGCGCTTCTCCAGAGTCTTCTGAAAGTGACTGGGAGACCTTAGATCCTAGCATTTTGGAGGAGCCTAATCCCAAAGGAGAAGGGGAAAACAAAGCACATGGCCCAGCTGCAAGCCGACTGCCAGAATGCGCCCGCTCCGAAGGCCTCCCCATCACGGTGCAGCCGCAGGCAAACGCGGCGCTCGTGCCGGGCCTGGTGTCCGGCTTGGAGGAGGACCCCTTCGGCATGCCCCTCGCCGTGTTCACAAAGGTAAACGGGTCCCTCAGAAAGGGAAACGGGCGTTCACAAAGCTAAATGGTCCTTCGGGTAACTTGGAAAGGGACAACTTCTGTCCTTAGGGAAGGGACCACGGGTTGTGGTTGCCGGGCCCTGGAGGGATCCTGGTATGGTGCAGTTCTGCTGTGCGGGCCCTGGCCTGCAGATCCGCTGCGTGCCATGCATGGTAGGCGGCAGGAACGGCCGTTTCTTTCTGCTCTGAAGTACTGGCAATCGAACCCCATGAGGCCCGACCAGAGCACTTGCGAAGAAGGCAGCTAAATGTTATTAACTGGGGTTCTGCAAACTGTCCCTGAGCGGCTACCCAGGCCTGGAGGGAGCTTTTCTTCATTTTCTCTTAGCTCTTCATCATTATCTGCGGCTGTCTCTGTTTCTCAAAGGCCCCTTGACGGGCATTCTCAGGTAATACCCGCTGCCTGTGAAACCAGGCCAAATGCCTCCTCTTAACCATAGTTTTGTCAGTGAAAGAAGTGATACAACACTCTGTTTTGGTTTTATGTAATAACATCAAACCTAATAACATGTGCTAAGGAAGCAGAGGATTGAGGTTCATCCTCTCAACCTGATGAGGTTCCCTCCCTTTTGGAGGTGGTTATTTGCACTTATTTGTGTATGACAGTTGTATGTGAGTGTCTCAGAGCAGCTTTCCTCGGCAGCAACACATTAGGCCCAAATGAGCAGATCAGATCAGGTACCATCTGCTCTGCGTGGCCATAAACCACCATGAAGAGATGGCTTCTCCAGGCAGGATCTGCAGCCTGCTCTGTGTCTCAGTGCTCTGCCTTCTCTAAAAAACACCCTGCAAGTTGGATCTAGCTTAGCTCTAGGAAAATACTAGATTGCAGGCAAGGAGGAAATAATTGATACAGGGTGGGAGGAGGCTAAAGTGCACATTTTATTTGCCGCTAAGCTTGTAAAATGGAGAAGTAAACAGTGTTTATGGAAGTTGACAGCACCTTCATGCTTACCTTTTGTCCCACAAAGGTGCTTTACATTGGATGAACTCAAGTGAAATTAGAATAGGAAAGGCTTTACACCTCAAAGCTATGAGAAAATGTGATTGCCAGTTAAAATGTAACCGCCTAGAGGAAATGTAAATCTTATTTAGAACTCTCATCTCTGGCCTCTTCTCTGCAATGTTGTATAGGAATAACAAATAGGACAAATCTGAATGGGATGAGATTTTGCCAGTTGGAAGAATATATATATATATATATGTATATATGTATATATATACCAAATATACCAGAGCATGAAAAAAAATAGGCTGTGATATTTTGATCTTTTTAGTACTAATTCTGTGGGATCATTTCAATTGCATTCACTCTCCCCTCTCTTTTTTTAAAGAGCAGGAAACAACACAGAAACGTGAATTTGGGAACTGAGCCTTGATATTTTAAACAGTGAAATATTTCCAGATTTGACTAAAATTTATTTAGTCTTTTCTTTGCCGACTTCCTAAGCTTTGTTTTTCTGACTATTTTCTGTTTTAGGGTGGCAGTTCTGTTCCCAAGTGCGTTGTTCTTTTGACACCAGCTGTTTGTTTCCAGCTGATAAGTGCTTGTCATCTGGAAAGCTCTCCCTGTCTTTAATATAACAAAAGGGAATGGTTGTGCTCCTTTCTTCCATGTGTTTCCAATTAACGTGTGCTGTGTGATAAAGTATCTGTGCTCTTTGCTGCCATCCAGTCTGCACTAGCCCTTGTGGGTTTGTACCTGTGGTAAACTGCATTGTGCTTTGTGCAACTGAAACAGAATTAGATCTGAGTTTTAAATTCAATGGACGGGTGGACTCTACATGTAAAAGTAATAATACAATACCTACATCTTTTTTCAATGATCTTTGCATAACCTGCTTGAAAGTCTTAGAGAAAATCTCTTAAAATGTGGGGTTTCTTCTTTTCTATTTTCTTATTTTCTTTATTTTTTTTTCCTTATTTTCTTTTTCCTTTCACAAATAAAAAGTGAGATAGATGTCTCTCTTTCTTGACATCTTGTCTATACACTGACTTGAGACCTTCGTGCTCACTCTTTACTGCTTATTCTGCTACTGCATAAACACATTTGCTTCTCGACAGCTGGTGCTGTATTTCACGTGTGTTCCTGAGACTGAAAGGCTACACAGCCTCTTGAAAAACATAGTTGAGGTGAAAATTTTTAGGTGTAATGTAGCAAAGAAATCTGTAATCACGGCTGAAATTATAGTAACCAGAGTCCTTCACTCTGGGTGGGAATGTGCTGACTTTGGTTAGGAAAACCTGTGGGTGTGGACAATGTTCTGTCTTTTTGTTAATCCCCTAAATATGTGTTGCTTTAGGGATACCTTTGCCTGCCCTACATGGCACTGCAGCAGCATCATCTCCTCTCAGACGTCTCAGTCCGGGGCTTTGTTGCTGGAGCCACCAACATCCTGTTCCGCCAGCAGAAGCACCTGAGCGATGCCATCGTGGAGGTAGGAGGCGTTCGGAGGGGACGGGAGGGCAGCAAAGCAGGGATGGGTTTTGGGTACGTGACCGCAGCGTTCCAGCTTCGTGCCCTAATTTTGAGCAACTTCCCTTGAAACAACTCTGTAGAATTCAGTAACATAACAGTTAAATGTATGTAACCAACTTAACCTAGTGGCTAAATTAAATTAGCACTGATCAAAGTGAAAATCAAAGAAATGGATGTGAACAGCAAACTTGCCTGCCAAATTCTGTGAAATAAGCTGCTTTTAGTCTGTGCCAGGAAGATCATCAGCTTCTGGTTTTATCAGAGATGTCTGTCATTCTGAGAATGAGTTATTTGTGATTTATTTGGTTATATATTTCTTCTTGATACTGGTTGTGACTGTGTGTTTAGATTTAGGCGGTTGTTTGACAGTAGTAGTACATGGTATTTTATGTATAAGCAATTTCATTTGGATCCCCCTTTACCCTTGGAATTATTTCCAACAGATAGAAGACGCTCATGTCCAAATCCACGATCCCGAGCTCCGTAAGATGCTGAACCCTACGACGGCCGACCTGAGGTTCGCAGATTACCTGGTGAAGCATGTGACTGAGAACAGGGATGATGTTTTTCTCGACGGCACTGGCTGGGAAGGAGGCGACGAGTGGATCAGGGCTCAGTTTACTGCGTATCTTCACGCGCTGCTCGCTGCAGTGCTGCAACCAGGTACCCTGTGTGTCCTGTCTGGGGGCTGAGGTGAACGTGGGTGTGATAAGCGCTGGCTGTGCACGTGCTTGGCCTCCTGCCAAGGAGAACGTGATGGGCAAAGAAGAAATAGCTTTGAGGCTGCAAAGTAAGAATTTAATAAAAAGACTTCCCAAAGAGTAACAAGGATATCCAAGGACAACAAAATCTCCTTATTTTGGTCGAGGATTCTTCACAAGTAGAAGAACTTGCAAACGCATCCAGATTTTACCAACCTAGAATATTCTGCAGGTTCTGTTGCCTCCTGAAGTTCACCTTAGGGAACCAGCTGGATCCAAGAAGGGATGGAGTTAGAGGCTGCTTTCAGAGAGTCTTGGTGGTCTGAGCCATCTCTTCTCCCTCTCTGCCATAGTCTTAAATAGGACTTCAGTAACTGAAGTCACTGAATTCCTTAAATAGGAATTCAGTAAGTGAAAAGTGTCAGCTATAGGCTTGAAAAGTGCCAGCTATAGGCTTTATAAGCTTCTACTTTCTGGAGCTTAAACATTTCTGTCCCAGAAATTCTGTTCAGAAGGAATTCACGGTATTCCAGTCTTCCTGCATGAATGTAACAAAAAGAATAGGTGATTTGTTTCTGTCAAATGTTTCATTTGCCCCACACTGATCCTTTTAACCTCATCCTATTCGTGCTTCTTTGGCTCTCACTGGCTTTTACCCAATTCAGTGCCAATGCCATGGTGTATGTGAGAGAACGTGGGACTGGGAACCACACTTCAAGATCCAGAAGCTCTAAGTGTTGTTGAAGAGCATAATTATTTAAAGATGATTTTTGCTCTATATGAAATCATATAGATCAGCTTGAAGCTCATGCTGATCTAAAGTGATTCGCTCTGGTTCTAAAACGGTTCCCTATGTTCTTATGTATTTTACTTTAAAGGGAGATGTTTAGGTTTATTCTACAGTACCTATGCTTCAGTTTTGCAGTTGAATCTGAGGTTTAGTAAATATGAATGTAATAGCATAGCCCACAGAGCCCAGCCCATCGGGCCAAGAGCGGCGCGAGTTTCTGTTCCTGCTTGCTGGGTGGCCTCTCTCCCTCCTGCCCACCCTGGCCCAGAGAACAAGTCTTGCATGTGTGGGTGAGGGGTTTATTTTCTTTTTATTTTGAAAATATATTCCTCTATTATGAAAAGCTGATTTAAAAACGAAGACATCGCTGCTTCCCACTTCCCCCTCGCTGCCAAAGAAAAGACAACATAATTGTGTGTAATTGTGTGTAAATCTGTGATTTTTTGTCTTTTTTTTTTTTTATTCTTTTTGGGTTTTTTCAGCTTTTAAAATGAGGGTGGGTTTTTTTTGTGTCAGGTTCATAATGCTGGAATTTGACTTGACTGTGATTTGTCAAGAGCCTGGAAAATTTTAAGCGTTTTAAAGGTTTAAAGGGAGCAAAGCCCTTTTCTTTATATTACATGTCTAACAAATTGCCACAGATTCACTCATTTTTATTTTGATCTATCAGACAATGAAAAGACATTGTCAGACTTTGGAACGGCATTTGTAGCAGCCTGGAAAAACACCCACAACTACAGAGTGTGGAACAGCAACAAGCACCCGGCCCTCGCAGAGGTAAATGCCAGGTAAGGAACCCGCTTTTAGCACTTGGCCTAGGGAGCGTTCAGCACCTGTGCAGGGTCACATTCCTCCTTCCAGCCTCCCCCGTGGGCCTTCAGGAAGCCCTCGAGGCTGAAGCCTTTGCAGTCCTGTGCCAAAAGGATTTTGAGCCCAGAAGCAGGATGTTTCTCCCCTTTTATACCTTATTTTGTCTCTGGAATATTTCTGGCTTACAAATAGGAAGCTCCTTACGGGTGGTTTGTAAGAAATCCAAGCCTGAATAGACACGGGATTCTAGTCTCCTATAAAGTGATACTACTACATCTGTAATAGACTTCTTTTTTTTAACAGCAGAGAAGAACATAACCAGTGATTTCAGTTGTTGTAGTATGCATTCATCATGAAAAAAAGAAATAAATGAGGTTTTGGGGGGTTTCTTTCTTCTCTTCCAGCCATCCATTCCAGGGACAATACTCCGTATCAGATGTTAAGTTAAGATTGTCACAGTAAGTATATAGTATTTCAATATGTGCAGAAGAAAAAAAAAATGTGTCTATGTGTGTGTGTGTATGTATAAACACACATACACAAGCAGCTGTGTAACTCTGGCTATGAGGATCTAAACTAAGTAATAATTTGAATCACCCTTGTACATGAAACCGTATCTGAAGTTCTCTTGCACAACTTCACTACATATAAAGACGGATGATTTGCAGGTTTGCATAAAGTAGGGGGAAAATAGTGCTAATACAGTTTTGTTTAGTCTACACTGATTTTTGCACTGCCGTTATAAGGCTTTTAAAGTGCTAGTAATCCATGTAAAGCAAAGCAGTTAAAACTTTTACCAGTGTTTCTCCATGTGTTGGTTTTGGGTCCAGTTAGGATAAATTAGCATTTGGGGGCTTTTGTTTGTTTTTTCCAAAACCTTGGAAAGTCTCAGCAGTCTTTTTCCAAAACTCCCTCTTGGAGCTCATGGTAGGTGTCCTGTACTGAGGCTGAGGTTCAGATTATTCAATTTAGAAGTTTAAAATGCATCTTCTGTAACTTCTTGCTGCACCAAACTTTCCCCAGACTTTTCAGTTCTGTCAGTTCTTACCTATCCAGGTCTAAAACGGACTTCAGTGGCACTTGTGACTCTCACAGATCTTAACTATAGCCAAAATCCAGTCGTGCAGTTGCAATTAGCTGTTTGTTTTTGTTCGATCACCAAACAGAATAGATTGTTTTCTCCTACTTAGCTGTGTTGCCTGTTCTTTAATAAAAGTCACTGGATTTGTTGAGATTGGGCGGTGTCATCCAGATACCGTTGGTTTATTGTGGACTTTTCAGCAGACTGGCTCTGTAAGATGCCTGTTAAATCAGCAATGCTTGTGCAGAGGTCAAACACATGCTAAAATACATGAAAAGGCAGCCTGAGGAATAAAGTGGTTCCAACTTCAACCCCCCTGAATCTTTTGGCTGCTTCTGCTGACCCACGGCAGGTTAAACCTCTGTGATGGAGCTTGAGAATTGCAAACAAACCACGATTCATTTCAAGGTCATTGCCTTCAGTAAGGTTCATGCTCATAGGAGCTCGTACTGTTACTGTGGTTTGTAGCCTTTATAGAAATATTTAATAGTCTATAAGATGCAGGGATGACTATAATGTGGCGCACCCACCTCTCTTCTTATTTTTTTTAAAGAAGCCCCCTTTTAAAATGCCCCTTTCTGGTACTCTAAAACAAATATGAAAAGATGAGTAGTTGTATCTAATATTTTTACGGCAGTATCTTTATTCCTCAGAAGTAATTTGCCTGCCAGATGCTCATCAAAATTACTTTTTTTTTTCAAAATTGCACCTGAACTTGTTTCTTGAGATGTGTTCTTTTCTTTTTGCTTTTCATCTCCACTGAAGATTTTGAAAGTACTCAACAAGATAACGTAGAAAATTGTAAGGTAGAAGAGCATGTGGCATGCTTTTCTAGAGTTCCTGAGTTTCACACAAACTGATTTTCCGAGTATGAAATGAGTTTGAGAATTTAATATTATAATTTAAACCGAAATGAGACTTGCAAAAATGCAATCACTTGAAAATAGAGCTGATTGCTTTTGTAAAGTCCTTTGCAGATGATGGTAGTATCTGTCTGCCTTTTTTTTTCCTTTTAACAAAAGCATGAAAGTTTAACTATATTTGATCAAAAAATACATTTTAAAAGCAAAATACCAAGTAAACCTTATTTAGAGAAATGAGTGATGATTATTCATTAACACATATTTGTCCTTTAAGACTTACAGATCAGGACTAAAACTTTCCAAAATTTCTGTAAATCTTATTTCATAGTTCAGGAGTTTACATTATAGTAAACATTTATAAGAAGTAGTAGTGTGCTTTATAAGAATGAAGTGTTGTTCATGGCACTTTTTCACGGAATCACGGGATGTTTGAGGCTGGAAGGAACCTCTAGAGATGACCTAGTCCAATCCCCCTGCTCCAGCGGGGACACCCAGAGCACGGGGCGGCATCCAGGCGGGTTTGGAAGATCTCCAGAGGTGGAGACTCCACAACTTCCATGGGCAGCCTGTGCCAGGGCTTTTGTTGTTGTTTGGGGGCTTTTTTTTTTTTTTTTTAATGTTCTATGCTTAACAGATTTGTGTGGATGAGATGCATATTTCCAATATAGAAATTGTATGGGCTTGATTATATACTGTCCTGCAAAGAGGATATATAATCAAGACCATATAATTCCTGTGCTAGAAATATTTTTATATATATTATATATATGTATATTTCTAAGCATACAACTGATTTGCAATTAAAGATAATGTGTCAGTTGACTCAGTCTTCCATATGTCTTTCATTTAGCTCAGTGCAAAATAGTGAACGCGGAAAGAAGATTGGAAATGTGATGGTTTCCACTAGCCGAAATGTGGTGCAAACAGGAAAAGCTGTAGGTAAGAAATGAACTGAAAGGCAGATTAGAGCCTGCCTAATTTGGCACTGCCTCTCTTGTAGAAGCAGCCCTTATCTCACTTATATTGCATTTTAATTGAAGTGTACTCTACAGTATACATACAAAATAGAGCAATGTTCTGAGAGGCAAAGCTGCTGATTGTGGCTCTTTATATTGCATGGTAGTAGAAAGACAAGCAGCTAGGCTAAAGTTTCCAGCACAAGTTTCTTTTCCAGTGTGTGGACAAAGGAAAACATAGGAGGTCAGCAGAAATGTTTGTTTTGATTTTTTTTTCCTATGTACAAGTTCTTTGAATGTTTTATGACACATGCTAGTTGAGGACTAGCATTTTAAAATCCCAACATAGACAGCAGATTGTGCTGCTTCACAGGCCTAGCAGTGCCAAGATGACAACACGACAACTCCTGATCCTCCTTCTTTTGTTTTATAACGCAGGTCAGTCCGTCGGAGGAGCCTTCACAAGTGCAAAATCGGCCATGTCGTCATGGTTTTCCACTTTCACGCAGTCCACACAAAACCTTGGGGACTAGGCACTGCTCTTGCACGCTGCTGCTGGATGGTGCAGGTGCAGTGGCTTCTCTGAGCTGTAAAAAACTGCTCAAAATGTAGCAGTGGAGACTTACAGTCCAGGACCAAAACGAAGTCCATGTTGCTTGCAGGCAGATGTGGAAGGTTGTCAGTCGGTTTCACTAGAGGTCACCATAGAAGGATGGTGAGTGTCTCCACACAATGGGATGGCATTTGCAGCATATTGGCTTAAAATGACTACTTTTCTGTAAATCTGAGCCTTTATAAAGACACTAGCAAAGAGGGCTTGGCACAAGCCAAATGCGTTGAACCTCAGATTTGTACATTTTCTTGGATGTTGAAGATATTTATGTAAATTAGCTATATTTTTCAATTCAGATAGCCAAATGGTTGTGCATTCCTGTTAGAAATAACCAGAGTATGCATTACTGATTTTGCTTTCAGGTTAGATTTGAGAGCACATCTGCAAAACGTATATGGGGGGAACACATAAAAGGTTCCAAGCCAGGTGGAACTGTCTCGCTTTGACCTGCAGATTAAAACTAGCAGGGTGCAAAGTGTCACTCTGGCTAACTTGAGATTTTTTGCTTTCTTCTTCTCCTCTGTAGCCATGTACAACTGTTAGATTAATCTATCTCTGGCTCTCTGTATCTGCAAATCTGTGTGATAATTGTGAAATTAGTATTTTCTTGACATTATGCAGTAGGCCTTCTTACCTTTACCTATGTTTCAGCCGTGTTTTACCCTGGGACATGAGTAGGATTCTGGTTAGAGAGACCTCTTCAATACAAAAAAGTATTTAAAAAAAGAAAAAAAAAAACAGTTCTCCCAAATTGGGACAGAATCATCTATGAGGATGTAATTATGCCATAAATGTAACTACATGCATATGAATACAAAGTATTAAAATTACCTAAAACTAGCACAGTAGCAAACTCTGAACACTTTGATTGCCAGTAAAGTTATGAAAATTCTTTCAAGAAAATCGGCCATATAGATTTTCTGCATCTACTCAGGGAATGGTCTATTCAGATTTTTGCATTAGGGAAGGAACAGCTCAGTTCATGTCCGTATGTGAAGAAATAGGTTAGTTTATATGAAAAGATGTGGCATAATGCTGTATTTCATATATAAGTACACATGTGCAGTGTCTTCTGTATCCAAGCATGCTCTATTCCATACATATTCCATATTTCCTGCTTCTGAACACATTATTTCCTGTTTCTTGAAGTGCATTCCTCTCTATGCCTTCCATGTGGTAGCTGTTATTGCTTTCCACATTATATTAGCAGATGTCCCTGCTTTATTACAGTAAAAGACACTCTCAGTTTATTGCCTCTTTGGTATCTGACAGCTTTTTGCCACACTCTTTTCTGGGGCCAAGATTTCAAGTCATAGTTGTTTCTTCTATTCCTCGAACAAAATAGAGCAGCTGTGCAAGAAGTAACTAGGAAGATCCCAATGTAGCTTAAGAAATTCACTTCAGATTTGTTTAGGTGCATCTGACAAGTTAATAGTGAAGGGAATAAAAAAACAAAAACAGATTTGTATCAAGTAGTTAAAATCCAGCAACTTAATTTTCAGTTTTATTGCTTCAAAAAATATATTTTGAATTTGAAAACACAAGATCTGCTTTGAAGCTTTCGTTATTTTTTTTCTAGGGCAAACTACAAATAGAAAAGCCATAGAAAACCTGAAAGCCTCCTGCTAGTCTAAATAGTTTTGCTGGAAAAGGGCCAAAAATGCCTCTAAAAAGCACTAGTAATCTACTGCTTCTGACATAAAAGTAAAATGCACCTGTAGAAGTGTAACTATGGCTTTTGGTCTTGATGTATATATGTGTATCTTTTAAAACGGCTGATGCTCTTTTCTGTTTTGTTCCACAACTCTGTAATAGACATTTATATCTTTTTCTTTTTTCTTTTTTTTTTTTTTTTTCCTAAAGACTGAGAGAAACTTGATATGCAGGAGCAGCTCTGGTGCAATCAGGATAGGGATGCAGGTAGTGGGGATGATCCGGGCGCCTCCTGCTCCGGCCTGCAGACACGGAAATAACTAATGGCTTGGTGGAACGGTTATTTTGTGTTGTAGGTGATGGGCTTCATGTTGTAGTGAAGCCTGGGTACAGCCTAGAGGCTTTCAGCACTTACCAAACTAACCTCAGCAACCTAAGGCACGCAAGGCAAGCCGGGCATCCAGGGTGCGTGACAGTGGTCCCAGCGCCAGGCAAGCAGCAAGGGTCCCCATGTAGCCGGTATCATGACAGGTACTTGCAGGGTCATTTTCATGGGGTTTGGAGAGGCAGGGAGCCGGGCAGGGCTTTCCACAGCCTCTCTGCTGCAGAGCCCAAGTTGCGCAGCTGGGTGAGAGCGTTTCCCTCCGTTCTGCGTGTAACAAATGGTAGAAATGGGAGCTTGGATTCGTTTTTTGTTTTGCGAAGAATGAGCTTGGTGCTGGCAGGCTGGCCGGAGGTGCCAGCTTGCAGGGCTGCGGGGCTCTCCCTGCACAGAGAGCCTGGCTCAGGTGCCCGCCTTGGGGCTGCCATGCGGACGCCCAGGCTAGTAAATGTCTCGCACTCCTCTCCTTGCTGTGCTTAACCTCTCCGGGCTAACCCAAGAGAAATGCCCTTTACTCCTCTCCTCTCTGTTCTCACTCTCCCCTCTAAACATTATCACTTATAAATATTTCAACCTTAAAGACTGAACTTCCCTTCCTAGGGCCCTCCGAAACCTCTCCTCCTGCCCTGGGAGGAATGGGGTGCAGAGGCGCTGCGGGCGCCTCGCTCATGGCGCCTGAGGCGAGGGCGTGTCCAGCGGCGCCACCATGCACTCCAGTAACCGACTTAACCGTTAGAGTTAACCGACTTAACCGTTAGAGTTAACCGTTACCGCAGCCGCTCCTCCTTCCGCTTATTTATGTTTCCCCTGACTTTTGGGAAGGAAAAGCAGCATCTTTGGCTTTTTGTACGTGCCGGAGTTTGGGGACCGGCCTGTTCAGTGTACATGGATACAAGACACAGGTCCGCAACGCTAAAAGGGTTAATCATTCATCATTTTCATGTCATAGCCTTAATTCTTGTGCACATGAGACACGGTTATTTTCCCCCTCGAATTCATACATCACAAGTATCCGTTTTAGATCAGTGTTCTCATAAATTGCACTTGTTTGACCTTGTACATCTGTTTCAAGCACCTTTGTAATTAAATTTAGTATTTTGCCTAAGCAAACTTCCTATTTCCACAGAAATGATTAACAAGCAGATAAACTAATGTGGCAGTATTTAATTGTGAAAGTGAAGGTGTAATGCAATTTTTAAATACAGAAACTGTTATTTGATAAATGAACATGCAAGTAATGTACTTGATTTCTCTTGTGCTGCTTGAAAATAAATACATCCAGCCTGTTCAAAGCTCTGTCTGGTCAAATAGATGTTTTATTTTAAAATGTTAATACTACTAGGAGAAACTATAGGTGTCTGGTTTAAATACTGGTAGCTGCTTGTAGTACCTGGTCAGTCTTTTTGAAACTTGTATTCCATTTAAACTCACTATGGATTTTGCTTTTGCAAATGTATGACAAGTGTATCGTGTGGTATAACTTTTTTTTTCCCTGAAAATTATCCCCCATTGGCCAGTATTCATTGTAAATTAGTCTTTAGTAGGTGATAGCCTTCTCATACCTAAGTAAGAACTTTAGATAAAAATGTATATTTTTGAACTAGATTAAACATTAAAGTAATACGCAGTTAATGTGGATTGTGACATCTCATCCAAATGAGGATGCTGAGTGTCTGGCAGTAGTGAGCTCTGCGCTAAAGACTTACTTTCAAGTTCTTGCTATGATTTTGACACCGTAACTATCTGAGAATGATTGGGTAAATCACTGTTTCCAGTAGGATGAAACTGACCTTCTTTTATAATATTCAAATCTAAATTAGATAGAGCTTATATATTAAAAAAAGGCATTTGTTCATCATTCCAATCATATGTGAGTAGTTGTTGAAAGACTGAGAAACAAACTTGCACTGTATCATTTACATGATATAATTTTGCTTTCTTGCAGGTATTTAGTCTTTATTTAAAAGGGCAGCGTGGAAAGTACTCATTAAAGGCAGAGACACTGCCTTGCTGGGATGTGATTAAAGATTTATGGAGAGTTGCTGCTGGTTGCTTGTGAGTCTTGAATACAGTAGTGGAAGAGAGGCTGGCTTAAAGAAAGCACGCACAAAACGATGGTTCTGACAGGTTTGTGCTCTTGACCACAGAGAAGGCTCTTTGTCAAGCATGATCAGTACTATTTGGTCCTGTGAGCAATTTGAGGATGGTTTATTTCTATTGGTGTCACTAAAATGGTTAATTTTATCCTGATTACTTAATTCTCTCTAAAGTGCTGTGATAGCTCTGTACAGCATCCATAGCGAGATGGCTTAAGTTCTGCTGCGATGGAACTCAGTAGCCTGCCTGGCTTGCTGAGTACTTCACTTCAAAATAAAATCAGTGCTTAATCATGCAGTGCTCCCGCTGTAATACTGCATATTCCAGAAATAACCAATAGAAAATAAAATGTTACTTCCCTGCCTGACTTTGCTGAGTAGTATTGACCAAAGCTCATTTACTATTTGCTTCAGCAGTAGCAGAGACCACCTACTGAATCCTCTTTCCTTGTTTGAATCCAGATTCCCGAGAAAGCAGCGGTGCTTTCTAGGCCAGACAAGCCTGAAGAAAATGAATTGAGTAGGTATTAACTGAAGGAAAGAGAGTCTGAGTGAAGGGTTATTCTTGAAACAAAATGGGGAGCAAAATCATTCACATGCTGCACGAGGCAAACAAAAAGTACCAACAGATTCAATTGACCTCGTCCCTGTAAAACGCTCTGAGAGGTGCACCTGCAGACAGGGTGCACCTTAAAAGCAGAGGCATTCCTGAAAGTGGAAAAAAAAAAAAAAAAAAAAAAAAAAACAGGAACTCTAGCATCTTGCCTAATAGAGCTTGTAGGCCCTGGCCCTTTGCTGCTATTAACAACTGTGTGTATGTTTTGAAATGTTTAATGATGTGCCTAATGTTGTACTTGCATTGTCTGGCTGCAGAACGAGGTGCTCAGAGTGGGCACCACATGGCCACTCACCTGCTTTAAAGGGAACCTGGGCCTGAAGCCTTTGCTGGATATTCGGCATATCCCGTGTTCTTAATTTACCCTAAGGGCTGTGTTGCAGCAGCAGCAGCACCTGAGCTGGTTGGGTGCTCCCCCTGCACCAGCACACGGCAGGCAGGCCTTCCTGCGGCCACTGTGAGAGAGGCTGGGATGCGTTTTGGAGTAACCTGGAAGAAAAGCACATGGAGAGGTGGTTATTGCCCTCTCAGTCTTGCCCAGCCCCCCTTCTAGCCAGCCCCAGCCCCAGAAATAAAGAGTGCAGAGGGAGGTGTGAAGGGTGCAGGCACTCAGTTTAGCGGTGCTGTTGTCTGTCTGCAGGTGCAGTTAGTGCTGAGGAACAAGGTGCCAGGAGCCTGAATGTCTTAACAGCAGCCTTGAGAAAGGAGAAATACGGTGACGTACCAGGTAGTGCTTTACAATAGTTTTTTAAAAGAACTTCTAGAATGTTTTTCCCAGAGATCATCCCTCTATCTGATCTCCCTAAAGCTTGGCCCACTTCACTAGCCTAGTTCTGTTTATTCCACTTGGAATAGAAGTGAAACTGGCCCTTAAGAAGGTAGCCTTCACTGCAAAAAATAGTAAGTGAATGTACTGAAATTTGTTAGTGAGGGTCCAGGCTTTTCATTTTGGGGGGAGGAATTGAGACTGTTTCAGCTTTGAAGTATTTCAACCAAAAGAGGTGAACTGACTTTTCACATTTATAGCAACACTCGAGGCAGTAACAAAGTTGATGTTTTCAAACTTGCTCCTACCTGTACTTCAAAGCCAAGCTCATGTAGACCAGTTGTCTGTCATTCATTAAAATAGTATCTTAGGCTGAGGCTTCTATCTAGAGCTGATTGCTTTAATGATCTTTGCTGTTTATAAGCTAAGCACAGCATTTTTTCAGCTAGTGTCCCTGTTGCCACAGCAATCTTTATTTCTGCCCTTAACACCCCTTTCCAGGCCACAGTCGTGCTGCACCTGCAGCCTTTCTGTTCTCCTTCCTACAGGGAAAGAGCTTACCTGGGACCTCAGCTTTCCACAGCTCTTTTCCTTTGGAGCTGATACCGACTGCAGTGCGTGGTAACAGCCGCAGGGAACTCATGACAGGGCTTCTTCAGAACACTTTCCCCGGGAAAGTGATGGAGCAGCTCATCCTGGCTGCTCTCTCCAGACACATGGAGSAGAAGAAGGTGCTCAGGAGTAGCCAGCATGGATTCACCAAGGGGAAATCCTGCTTGRCTAACCTGATCACCTTCTACRAAGGAATATCCAGCTGGATAGATGAGGACAGAGCGGTGGATGTCATCTATCTGGATTTGAGCAAGGCTTTTGACACTGTCCCTCACAGCATCCTCCTGGGCAAGCTCCGAAGGTGTGGGATAGATGAGTGGACGGGGAGGTGGATTAGGAATTGGCTCGATGGCAGGGTGCAGAGAGTGGTTGTCAATGGTGCGGAGTCCAGTTGGAGGCCTGTACTTAGTGGTGTCCCCCAGGGATCAGTTCTCGGTCCGGTCCTGCAGGGTCCTGCACTTGGGGAGGAATAACCCTGGACACCAGTACAGATTAGGGGTGGACCTGCTGGAGAGCAGCCCCRCAGAGAGGGACCTGGGTGTCATGGTGGACGACAAGTTGACCATGAGGCAGCAGKGTGCCCTGGTGGCCMAGAAGGCCAACGGGATCCTGGGGTGCATTAAGAAAAGCGTCTCCAGCAGGTCGAGGGAAGTGATCATCCCCCTCTACTCAGCCCTGGTGAGGCCACATCTGGAGTACTGCGTCCAGTTCTGGGCTCCCCAGTACAAGAGGGATGTGGAGCTGCTGGAGAGAGTCCTGCTCAGGGCTACCAGGATGATCAGGGGCCTGGAACATCTGCCCTATGAGCAAAGGCTGAGAGAGCCAGGCCTGTTCAGCCTGGAGAAGAGGAGGCTGAGGGGGGACCTGATCAGCGTGTATAAATACCTCAAGGGAGGCAGTGAGGAGGAGGGGGGCGGCCTCTTTTCAGTGGTGGACAGTGATAGGACTAGAGGAAATGGCTTCAAACTGAAGCATCGGAAGTTCCACAGGAACTTAAGRAARCAYTTCTTSACWGTGAGGGTGACARAGCMCTGGAACAGGCTGCCCAGRGAGGTTGTGGAGTCTCCTTCTTTGGAGATCTTTAAAACCCGYTTGGAYGCAGCCCTGTGCCACGTGCTCTAGGTGACCCTGCGTGAGCAGCGGGGTTGGACTCGATGACCTCTGAGGTCCCTTCCAACCTTCGGCATTCTATGATTCTAACAAAAACATAAAAACACTGGAGACCCATCAGAGGGGGGACTGGTCTGATGCCTTAGTTCTGTGTTATACGGAGTACCTGAAGGAAGGTACTGCATGGATTTATACATAAGCCTAACAGACTGCTCTAAAATGTATTAAAATGCAAACCAGCAGGAAGGGCTGCAGGCTACCTTTATTGCACAAGATGCTCCTTACTAGATAAAATCAAGCAGAGCCTTTCAGCTTCTGCAGGACAACAGTGAGCTGTAGTTTCTATGCTTGTGCTTAAGTTGAAAGGCTCACACGTAACTTCTTGCCAAAACTAAGGTGAGTCAGCTGCTTCCTCTGCAACGCAGAGCGCCCCAGGCACGGCCCTTGGGTGCGGGTCACCTGGACTGGGGGGCTGCTGCTGCTGGGCCCCTCAGCTGCAGTTACCAGGATGCAACAGCTCTTTTTGGGTGAGATGTGAGATTTCTCCTAACTTGCACAATAAACCCATATCCCTGATGAGCGGTTTCTCCATGACCTGCCAGGTCCCAGGGTGCAGGAACGCACCAGCTGCAGCCCCCTGGCAGCACCTGCAGTTGCCCCAGACTGCCCCAAGTCCCTTCTCACCTTTAGCTGAGGTGTCTAAAGCAGCGCGATGCAGCCGCGAGTGCAACCCCGTGATTCACCCACAAAGAGGAGCCATTGGCCTTCTCCTCACTTGGAGCCACCTCATTATTCTGAAACCTTACACTGCAAAAGGCCAAAATATGACAGGAGTTTACAGAGGGGTTTGCTAATTTAAGTGCCCTTTCCCACAGCCAACAGCAAGAATGTGTCTTCCCCCCTTGAAAAATCCAGTTGTATTTCCTCTGCTACCTAACCAATTATCAGGACTACGAAGCAAATAATAAATCTGCAAAAGTTCTCCTGAAACTAGATCTGCCCCCTTACTTCCTGCCAGGATCTTTCCCCTTGGCAGGGTTAGGTCAGTGCCTGAGCAGCCCTGCTGGCTCCTGGGGCAAGTCCTTCATCAGCCCCACGTTGACTCGTACCCCACTTCGCCACCAGCTCAGGGGCACCTGCAGCCAGACCCATTTCCAACCTCGTGCCACTGAGCGACCTCAGAGAGTTTTCAACACCCCATGGTTACAACTGTGTCAGTTATCATCCACAAAGCACACCCAAAACAGCACTAGATTCAGTCTTTTTTAATAAATTAATGTCATTCAAAATACAGTGCCAGAACATGATGCAGCTGAACATGCTAGTAAGGTTTGTCATGAAGCACCTGTGTTCATGTCAGGTTGGCGGCGCCCCACTACTGCTAGTGGTTCCTGGGATTAATGCCGGAGCAGCGCCGGGCCGCTGCTCTCCCGCGCACGCGGGCGATTCCTGAACTGTTTGCTCCCCCCCAAGGACGTAAAAAACCTCATAGCTAAGGGATGTCTATACACAATCACACTACAGTAATGCTTGTTATTAAATTAACAGAAAATAAAGACCTGGTTAATTCACACTAAAACTTTTGTTTTACAATGGAAAAAAAATACATCAGCAGCAGGAAGTAATATACATGAGCCAATGTTACTGTAATACAGAGCGTGGAAGGCGTTCGTGACGAACGCTCCACGGAGACCCGCACTAGGAGGGCCCACAATTCCCATTGCGAGCCCAGCAACTTAAGTCCACACCTGGTAAACTACCAGCTGCTTGGAAGACCTGTATTCTAAACAGACAGGTATAAGTTAGTGAAAATAGACCACATGCACCTAATAATACATCTTGACTGAACCTGCAGTCATTGTGCCCTGCATGTTACCATACACTGGAAGATCTACCCTTCCTACCACAGGTAGATCCATGGGATTTGATTCTTTTTCTTTTAATGGCATTACTATACCAACGTGGAGATTAGTATCAAGTGCGGCACAGTCCCTTCCTTAGGCCACACTGACAGTTACGTAACTAGCACTTAAGTAGGATGTCCAGAAGGAGTTCAGATAGAACTGGAAGATGCTCTCAGAGCAGTTGTGACATTAACATCCTAGATACAGTAACTACTTTTCTGAAGCTAATTTGCTGAGCCAATACTTTATAGAACTAGAAATTAATTCTTCAGACAAATCAGATGCTTAAGCTTGTGATATACATATATTTCTCAATTATCAGATAATAGTATTTCATATTATGGAAGCATATCTGCTCATTTCACTGATTTATACTGAATGGCTGCCAACGTTAGGGAGAGCATAAAAATACAACTCGCGAGGACAGGTTTGACATTTCCATTTCCAGACCTGCTCTCTCAGGAATATTTCTTTTGGGGCTAATTGAGCACAGAATTGGTTGCGCAGTCTAATCTGGGAGCTATACGGGCGGCAACGTAACCATCTCCCCATCCAGCTCGAATTCGTCGGCCCCGTCTGGCGAGAAGAGATACGTGGGGGGCTTCCACGGGGACTCCTCGAGGCAGGAGGGGTAGAGCTTCCCCACGGTGCAGCGGAAGTCCTTGCCCAGGTCCCAGAGCACACGCTCCGAGATGTGCTGCCGGAGGAACCAGCGGTCAAGCTCCAGGTCGTACTGGTACGTGGCGTACTTGGCTCTCTCATTCATGTGGGTTTCTCGGATGAAGACGCACAAAGAGTTGGAGATGACGACGGCTCTGACACAGGGGTCCGAGTAGCGCTTGGCGGGAATGTTCGCCGCCATCCGCCACTCGTTTTTATTCACGTCGTAGATTTCCACAGTTACGGAAGACCCATCCACAGTACTGCTTGGGAGTCGGATTCCGGAATTGCTGGCGATGTGCAAGCCTCCGATGTAGAATATCTTATCGCCAAAGGCGGCGGCCGATGCAAAACACCTGCTTGTTTGCCTCATAGCCATTTCCACCCAGGCATCCGACCTGGGAAAATAGCAGTACATCAGGTTGTGCGCCATGACGTAGATGCAGTTGTGAACGGCCACCGCCGTGCTCCACTGCCACGCGCACGGCAAGGGGCTCACCATGCTCCACTCGTCCTTCTCCGTGTCGTATCTCTCCACAGTCCTCCTGTTGAGCTCCCCGCCCACGCTGTCCCCTCCGATTGCATAGATGTACCCTTCGCAGCAGACCAGCGACGGCTTCACACGAACAAACAGCATCGGCGTCTTGGGAAACCAGGTGTTCTGCTGGGCGTCGAACCAGTAAAAGCAATTCACAGTTCTGAAGGCAGCCTGCAGCTTGCTGCTCTTGCTGTGGTTGGTTTTTGTGTTTTTCAGAGGGACTTGCCCTCCTGCGATATAGATATCGTTGTCCGGAGTGACCAGCGTCCCAACCTTATGCAAGTCAGCGGGAGGGTTGCAGAGTTTGTAAACTTTTTCTGCCTGGGGGCTGTAACAAACAGAGGAATAAAGACTCCCGGGGTTCTCAGCAGCAGCTTCAATGAAGATCATCATCTCCTCTTTAGTCATGCCCAGCCGGGGCTTGAAGAACTTGGGCATCGATTTGTAGAGCCCTTGCACCACCACCGATTTGTCATTGGGCGGCAAGCCCTGAAACCAGGCTCTCTGCGTCACTTCCGAGAGGGCATCAATCCGGATTTGGCTGAGAACCGAGGACAAATACTGCGACCGCGACTCCGTGTTGTACTCCAGCCACAGCATGGCCGCTTCGCGAACTGTCTCCTCCTTCTCCACGTTTAAATTGTCACTGCTTAGAATATCTATGAGGAGATCATGGGAGAGCTGCATGAAGGCCTCCTGGTGGTACACGGCCGTGAACTTGTGCTCCACCATTCTTTTTGCGCTCTGTTTCAGCTCCTCACAGCTGAAGAGATCGGCAAAACTTAACAGACGCACACAATTTTCTGCGTTAATTTTTTTAATTAAGTATTCCCTACATCGCTGTAGCACATCATCTACCTGTGACACCAAGAAAAAATATATATTCAGTATTACTGCATATTATGCACCTCTTCACTTACCAGTAAAGATACCCATCCTTATACAACTGAGTTTAAGCTGAGAATACTCCATATACAGAAAAATACAGCAGCGACTTAAACAGATTTCTACAGATTAAATGCAAGTCATGATGATGTCCCGTGTTACAAGTACACTGTTTCCTTCCTCCCTCCAAAGGGACCTTAAAGTCAGGACAGACAAATGCGCAAAATCCATCTGCCAAGAGAGAGCACACTGAATGGGAATATTTTGAAACAACCAAACAGAAAGAAGTGTCTAAAAGAAAACAAATAAACATTAATTTAGAAATTAGAAGTGGGTATTTCATACTCAAAATAAGCATTCCTACCTGTAGGAAGCAGGCAGTTTCATAAAGCTGTTCTACTGTGCTGTCGCTTATTGCCAAGTTACCCGTGTATGCATAAGTTATGATAATTTGTAAAGTGGCTGCATCCACATTCCTCAGATGTACGTGTGTCTGTTTGCTTTCACTCAGCCCACTCATGAACATGGCTCTGAGGAGAAATGAACACATTAAGACAAGGACCAATAATAAACACTTCAGTCTTAAGTAGTTACTTTACCATCTTCAGGGGTAAAGTCTTCAGTGATGTTCCTCTAGAAGATAAATACTCTTTTTTGCTTGGCTGTTTACAGAAGTGGAGTATTCAGTGTGCTCAGTATTTTCTATTTATGCACGCTATTTTATGTTCATCAACAGAGAGCTGTAATATGGAAATTTCAAACTTTGCTAGGTTAAGGAAGCATATGAGGGAAGAAACATCCTCCTGAAAACACTGCTTAGACACATGCAGAAGCATCTAAGATTCCCGAACAAAAGCAGCAGGTTTATGCAGCCAGCGGTTTGGTTCACGGCAGGGCAGCTCGCAGCACGCACCAGAGCCTGCCCAGAGAGAGGCGCAAGCGCCAGCACTGCGGCAAGCCTTTCTCCTACACCGCCACTCACAAAACGCAGCGAGCTTCAAACTTCCAGACAAAACCACTGTCAGAAAAGCAGCACAGCAGATTTGTTCTGATAGAAAACTGCAGCATCCCTCTTGCATCCTTCTCAAAAGCAAAAAGGCCACTGAAAAGTTTGCCTTTCTTTTGTCTGTGCTGCTTTGGAAACATTGCTCATTCTGTTTTTTGATCACAATTAAGAAATAATTGGATCCTGATACTGTAAATTGGGTAACTTGATACTTTCTTTTAAATGTGTGAAATTCATTTTAGAGTTCTGCATGCATTCAAATTTAATATAGACATATTGGGGGTTTTTTTTAAGGAAACCCAGGAGAGGAAAGTTGGAAGGGATTTGGAGGGTGATGCCTGTAGTCCTTCCTCTAATTGCACTGGAGACTGGCCTCTGGGATGCGCTCCCACACAGAAAGCCATTCCATGAAGCATCTGATGCTACAGCAAGTAGCAGCACCCTGGCTCGCTGCATTCTCTGCAGTCCCTTTCCTGAGGGCCAGGGCATCTTAGGAGTCACAACTGGCCAAGGGAGTCTCCCCTTGCAGGCTGCCTTTTGAGGGCGAGCAGGACAGGGGAGCAGCTGGAGAGCCAGAGGGAGGTGCCAGAGGGCCTGGCTGCAGCGCACACTTCCTCTGGGCCAGAGCTGAGCGGCAGCCAGGACGCTGCACGAGCCCGGAGAGAGGCGGGCAGCTGCCCAGAGCCACGCGAAACGCTGCAGCAGTCTGGGAGACATTCGCTCCCCGCCACCCCAGCCTCCTTCAGTGCTATCAATTTTGCATAATAAAGCTAAATTTAGGAAACTGAACATCTTTTTTGTAAACCAAAACAGGGAAGAAAAACAGAACATGTCAAAACCACAAGCTTGATACTCCTTTTAACCAGTGCCAGAACTCCACTCCATAAATAATACGCAGGAGATGTGACTGCATATTCTAATGCAGCACACACTGCGTGGACTCCTGACAGCTCTCAGCTTTGAGTAGCCACCCACACTAGTCTGATCACGTTTCCAGTGGCTTTCACTGTACAGAGTGCTGAAACCGAGACATCTGCAGAAGACCACCAGCACTAATCACTGCCTCCTGTTCATATGGTCTTCGTGGCTAAAAATTGTTCTACCTTCATCTGAGATTAAAAAAAGATGAAGATAGAAACAAGTACAACAAATACTTCCGTGGAAATATTAACCCTTGAATAGTTTGTTGCATTAAGAGTTAGAGAATAACACAAGTAGGCAAAATGTAGAAGACGCTTTGAAACAGCATTCTGTAGGGAGAGACCATCTCAGTAAGGCAACAGAATTTGCAAACCCTTTTTGGAAAGAAAAGCGATAATTCACAAAGCACTAGTGGATGTCACCAAAGTTAGTTTCAAGTCCTTAAACTTCCTTCCCTGCAAGCAGATTATTTTGTGGTGCTAACCAAAATGATCAATCACTGCAGAAAATCCATGATGCCTCATTTTCTAGGACTTTTTATGGGGTGTCTGCAAAAAGTAGGAGCACTGAATAGATCCCATTAACAAAAATTTTGAAAAAAAAAAAGGACACTTGGGAAAATGGAAGCTAATGAATTAAAAATTGCAACAGCATCTCAGGGGAAAAAGGAAAACAGCATTGTTGTATTGCAGCAAGACTCTCAGGCAGGAGCAGAGTTTCTGGCTTCTTGGCCAAATACAGAAAAAACAGATGAGTGAGAACAGAAAGCCAGAAATGTGCACAGTAATCCCTACTTTTAGCTAAGACATCTCAGATAAAGTAATCACAACAGAACTCCCATAGCCAAGTAAATAAAAGCCAGTCACCCTATACTGGAAAACAGAAGATCAAACACTTAAAAGATTCATGTCATCTAGAGAAAAAAATAATTTTACACATTATTCAGACTCAATTAACTCTCCTAAAGAAAAGAGTCACCTGATTTCTTTCTGTACTTTTATAGAAAACTATAATTTTTTCCAGAGTAAGTCACAAGATGCTAGAGAATTTTGCTCTTTTGCTGTTTGCTATTAATGTTATATAGATTTTTATTACTTGCTTCATTGATCTTTAAAATGCTCTGCAATACATTAACTGTTCATCAATTATATAATATCATAGGCAAAAGCAGTTATCACAATTCACCTGAATTAACAGATGCTGTTTTGAACACTTACCTGAAATACGAGCTACACGTTGCAAGGACCATCTTATGGCAGGGAAATTCAGTGCCCTCAACGATCAATACTATGTCAGTTAGCAACTGCTGTTCATAAAAGGATTTTAACTGCTCCAGCAAGGACACAGCATACTCTGTATTTATCTGCCTCTCGTCCTGGGTAGACATGACTGTATTCCATTAATATCTCCAGGACCAGAGAGAAAAGTCAGGATCTTTCTGCCAGAAAAAGATCAGCTGAATGTTTCTGAAGTAACCAGGGAAGAAACGTCGGAGGTCTGTAGCTGTGAGAAGCAATACTGGTAACAAAAGGCAGTTTATCCTGCACTGCTGAATCAATGCTTTGGACTTCGACCTCCTGTTAGGTCATCATGCTTTGACGTGACGTCAGAGTCTGCCCAGCGACTTTCAGGAGCGCCTGCTCAGTTCCTGTTTAGCCTCCCAATGATGCAGCAAGTGGATGAGCAAAAGCCAAGCGTGAGGTAGATTTCGTGGTAACATCTCGTGATCACTGGCTGCACTTGAGTGACTGAAAGCTGGAAAATAACATTGGTTTGCACATTAGTACTTACTCGAAAATTCTTCCTCCCTTTTATAGTTCCCTTTTTTAAAGGGATTGCCTAAAGGGATTATTTCTACGTAGCACTTTACTACTGGCACAAAAATCCTTGAGCAGAAAAAAATATCCTGAAGAAGTACAAAGCAGGAGAGCTTGTACACAAATTCTCTTCAAGGCCTACATGCATGAATTCAGATTCTTTTTTTCTACCTTCACAGCCTCTAACCCTGAACAGTTTCAACAAGGTTTGAAAAGACTTTATTCTTATTACAAGAACTACCTGTTTTTTTCCACTTCATTCCCCTATTTCCTTCAATCACAGGTAAGAGCGCCAGTTTTTCTCGTTCCCATATTCAATGGCTCTTTTACTGCCCATACACTTCTGTCTCCTTCAGGTTATCAATACAAAGCCTTCTAAGAATAGATGCACTTTCTTAACAGTTCATCACTTTCTGGAATTTATGGAAATTCCCAACATTTCCATAAACCCACTTTTCCACCTGTTAGCCCAGCATTTTACTATAGAACAAGCAGAACTTGAGCTAAGGATAACTTGAGCTAACCTGACAACCTATTATTTTTCCTAAAGCAAATAAGCTTTGCGTCATCAGCTCTCTCCAGAAGGGCTTTATTTCCTAACATTCCACTTTCTCCTTTGTTCCAAGGCATTTCCATACAGCCAGACAAGCGCCACCGCTATAGACAGCAGAAAAACAAAATAACAGCAAGGTAAGAGGCAATGGAATAGCAGTGGTCAAAATACTTATAAAAGTGACCACCATCTATCAACGTTTCCATGTTTAGAAATTCCCACTCTTGAAAAGGGGTCAGAATTTGTCTTACCTTCCATGCAAACACAGAAACATCAATAAGAATGGGAAAGTTTTGACAGTAAAATCATTATCATAAAGGACAGAGAACTACATCTATCTAATACTGTGCTACCCTTGTCCATTCCCAAATTTAGGAACAACCAGAGACGTATTTGTCCAACAACTAAGTCACTATCAGTAGTTCCCGAGGAACACACAGAGCGTAGAAATCTTGCTTCAAATGACATATTTTAAATTCCAGGCAAAATTACATGATTTAGTACAAGACAGAATACCTGCCAGACGTGTCAAAGATCTACTGTTTATTTTAATAGAGTTCTGCCTTTAATATAAATCAGAGATAGCTCTCAAATTCTCCAACTTAAACCAGATATGCTTAATTAATGCTGTTTTAATTACTACTAATTTAGTGTCATTGATCCAATTCTTTTTCAGTGATGAAATATACACAAGAAAATTCACACATGCACTCAAGCTCTTAAGTTTGCACTGGCTGTTTAACTGAAGAACAAGCAAAATCATGAAATCCAGTGTCCAGCTTGTTCTGGTGAAGCCAGGAAAGAAAGAACAAACGAAAGAATGAACAAAAAAAGGCGTTAATGTTTTGGGGAAAGGGAAGAAGGAGAAACTACTATCTCCTGTAGTAACACCTATTACCATGCAACTCCTGCCCTCATACAGATCTTTGAGTTTCAAGTGTCAAAAAAGCAGAAGTGCATCAAGGAACTGGCTTACCTAAAGCAATGACTTTTTTCAAGTCACAGCTTCTTTTCACCAAATTAATACATACCCAATCTCTACCTCACTGACTGCTATCCTGGTCTTCCGATAATAGCTTAACGTGCAACCTAATCCATTGACAGATTTTGCACTGAACCTTAAATGGCTACAAAGACGCACAGACTTCCTAAGTGCGTTAGCTCCATAGAAATAAATAGCTCATGGCTCTGCTGGTATCCAGGGTCTATCCACAACATTGTTTTTCCTGGCTTAGAGTACAGTTTTAAGTATACAAACTGGTGGACTAAGCCTTATTCAGACAGAACTTACTTCTTTTAAAGCTTAGGAAGATTTAACAAGTCATTGATATCATTACTTCATATTCTGATGTAATTTTAGAGAATACAAACATTTAGGAAGAGGAGAAAAAAAACACTTAAGCTTACAATTTTAGTCACTGGTTAACAGAACTAAGAGATCCCATGGAGAAATTGATACACCTGCTAGTAAGAGTAAAGACAGTTTTGGCAACATGAGGCTGACAGTGGGCAACTGAAAAAAGTGGACCTGTCCAACAGAAGCCAAAGTGAAACTGTGAAATTAATTACTATAAATAGCTGGAACATTTGAGCATGACCCTCAGTGAGGGAAGAGGCCGAGTGGATGACAGGAGTCTTGTTGCAGAACGTTTATGTGGATGTGAACCACCTTGGAACTGTGCATTCACAGAGCTGCTCTCCTTGGCTTACAGTTGACCTGAAAGAGTCTCTTTTCCATGCTGTGCCCTCAGAAGGTCCTAGGTACACATTACGTGCACAGGTCCTGTTTTCCACAGCTATGCTGTGTTTTGCTAGCAGGAATAATTGTTTGCTGAAGAACATAAACTGTCATACCTGTCACCTGAAGCCAGGAGTCCCATCATGCTTCCTTTTACAAGAATACTAAATTTTCCTAGAAGAACAATTTGTCAGTGATCTCTGATTTTTGTTCTAAAATTACTGTCATTTCTATAAGCATTTGACAAAGAGAAGAGAAATGGTTCAAAACATTAGGGTAAGTGGTGTAGAAACATCATTTTGTGGAGGCAAAGTCATCCCAGACTACCTGTCTCTCTCGCACCTCTCCCAGAGGGGTTCAAGACAATTTTTCAAGGTGATGTCCCTGTCACCTTAAACTCTGAAAAACAGACCCACTGAAGTAAGCCATTTGTCTAAAGCCCCACACTTGCTGCAGCAAAACTGCACAAGGTGCAGTTGCCACCAGCACCAGCCCGAGGTCACTCACCGCACTGATGCTTGGTTGACATAACAGCACTTAGACCTCAGCTCACTGCAAAAGAGAAGCACTGACAGTGTTACAAACTTGAAGATCAACAGTCTTCTGTAATTCTGACAACTACATCCAAGTAGCCATCACACATGGCCAAAGACAGAATTTCAGTTGAGCATAAGATGCTAAGAGTAAAAATACTCCTTGAATGCAAGTCCTTTGAATACTGACTTTTCCCTCAGTACTGCTGTGCCACTGGACCCATCTCTTTAGCCACCTTGTTCTGGGTAACTTCCAGAAAGAGACCTAGCAGAAGCAGGGCTGGTACATGGTGGCTGGAAGGACACAGCAGCACCAGATTGAAAACTGAATCAAAATGCTATCCAGTGATCCAAAGTACCTCCCCAGGGCTCTCCAAGCAACAAGTGGGTAAGAGAATGTGTTTTGTTTTACATAATTATTCATTACAGTTATTTTATTGAGGTAGTTCTAGCACTAGTACATGTAGTTCTAATCTGAAATAGGTCATTCCAAAAATCAATCATCAAATGTTAATGAACTATGGAACAGTGCTATTAATTGCTTTCCTTTAATCCATTTATTTTCTAAGGTCAGGCAATGACTTATCAACAAATATAACTCTATGAAAAGAAATACATACTGCACTACACACATGGAAGCATTAGTGCTATATTTCAATTTATGTTGTGAAAAATAAATATGTTTCATTCCAATCTGGACAGTAGAGAAATATGAAAGACATTATATGTAACAATATACAATTGAACTACAGTTAAGGGGTTTTTTGTGTGTTTTAAACAGGAAATTGACTTCTTTTTCTCCCCTAATAAAAGGGGCAGAATGAAGATGTACAGCCATGCATTTCCTTAGATAATAGATATTTTGATACTAGGAAAATAAACAGGTTCCTCTAAAGAGCCCACTAAGTCAGTCAGATGAGGTGCCTAACTTGCAATAAAATTCTGGGATACAAAGATATATTAGAGTTCCACAGGCAGTTTCCTATCTTCAACCATCTAAGGACTTCTGAAACTAACTTCACTAACTACAATTAATACTTCATTAAACGACGTTGAAGAGGGGAAGGAGAGGAGAAGGGCACTTATTTGCCTGGACATCCAGCTCATTTAAGCAACCTTTAACTAATAAAACATTCCAAATGCTACTTTTGTACACTTTTAATCAAATCCTAGTTTCCATCCAAGTGCAGCTTCATACAAATCACAAGTAAAAACATGTCTAAAGAAGTGAGTCATTCACTGTTTTTAACATAATAAAACATCAAAATTAAGAACTGAACGACCACCTGCCAAACTACACAAGCACTGAAGTCTGTAGAGACAGTGACCTCTCAGCCCATCAAGTACCAAGTTTACTCTTAACACTATGTTGAATTACAACATGTTTCAAAATGCATGTGCAAACTCATGGCACAGGGAGAGGGTATACAAGTTTTAAGAAAGATCAAAAGCAATTATTTAAATTAGCAGACCTAGCTAACAGATCTCAAAGACATGAAATGAATGAGAAAAAGAAGCTGGAAGCTCTAATAATCTATCAGATTTGCTGGTGAAAAAGAAATGGGTAACTGATGAAGTAGTTTCGGACTTGGAAGTTTTCCTTTCTTCCTGAAGCCATCAAAGCAGTCACTGACAGCACTGGAATCCAGAAACTTGAGGGCATCAGGGAGATTATATCTGATAAGACAATGACACGAAATATCAAATAAAATGCAGAAAGGACAAGTTTATTCCTATGCTGTTTTTATCTTGAAAATTACTTTTCATTGCATGCAGGAAGCTTTTCGACACATATTATGCTTGGGGCGGGAGTCAGAACTTCAAAGTAGGTGCATTCCCTGAAACTAGACAGAAACTAAAGACTTCAAGTGTCAAACTCCAGATTAACAACATGCTTGGTCACAGTGCACTCCTAAGTACCTGTTTCTTCCTGTTTTGCTGCTCCTGAAGGAAATTATACAGTAATGGGAAAGTCTGCCAGGAAATAAAACCAGCAAGAGATAAACCAACAACCTGGCCTTCTAAGGAGAGCGTAGGTACAGTTTCCATCCCCAGGGGTACTTCTGCCTTGTAGAAAGGCTTGCCCTGTAGAGTAAACCTTGGCAAAAGTGAGCCATAGATGTATGCAGTGAGACCCAGCCATATAGGATGGAAACAGAGAACAAGTGTGTTTTCACTCAACTCTACAACATTGGTAAAGCCGGTCCTCTTCCTTTAATAGCTTCCAGGGAATGATGTACACTGGTAAGTTTGAGTTGAACATCATCACACTGCTTCTTCACGAATATTTAAACTACAAATTCAAGCATCTCTAAATTAAGAAATTAGGCTAATAATTACTGTAACTTAAGTAATCATAAATTGCTTCCTGAAAGGTTAGACTCTCATAATGGGTACCTCATTCACATGCATTTATTCTCAAAATGGAACAGCTACTAAAGCTGCTAAGGATGAGACATGAGACAAAAACCTGCCTTAAAAAAAAAAAAAAAAAAAAAAAGAAAAAGAAAAATTTTAGGCAGGAAATACTGAATAAATAAACAGCAAAGTCCTCTTCTCACTCATCACTAGCACCTTGTATAACTATGACTTTTTATTTCACTTGCAAAAAACAATGGAAAAAAGGTACAACATCTATGCCCAGATCATGAGGTTACATGATTTACTCAAGTATATTTTACTCAAGTAAAATAAATATTTTACTAAAAAATATTTATTTCTCCTAATACACTTTAAAGAAACTCAACTAAGTTGATCAGGAATTTCAATGATCTCCTAACTGCATCATCTTAACAACATTCAAGAGAAAATATCCTAGATGAACTCCAGGCACTCACAGAAATTTCCACTATGGGCGGGCACTGGAGTTGCTGAAACTAACAGACAGAAGGAAGGGAGAGGGGATATCATTAAGGTCCATTGTGATCAGGAAGTAGTGGTGAGGGGAGGATAAGAAAAAGTCATGGGTTCGCAGGGAAAGCTGTAAAAATGCAGGTGCTAAACACTATATTTTACAGTGTAAACACTATCCAAATCTACTTCTAAATCATAACTAAAGTTATTTCAAAAGCAGCACATATATATGCCCTGTAGTCTGCTTTTAGTTACAGAAACACAACATGTTGGAAAGTCTTACGTACGCAAGCGTTTGATTTCAAAGCTCTTTCTCACTCTCTACTACACGCATCCACTCGACAGAAGTTCACCAGGATTTACTGTCACCTTCAAATCGCTGCACCCTGAGCCCCCTCGCGCTCCCCGGTTACTAGCGCGCGCATCTCAGACACATGGGCAAAGGGGGTCACTCCCAAGCAGCAGCAGTGTCCGCTGTCGCCCTCCCACCCGCCCTTGGGACATCTTCACAACCCACTTCCCCTTCCCGACACCAGGTGCGTGCCGCGTCCCTCCATTTCTCCACTTCCCTCCTCTTCTCGCTCCAGATGCTCCCCGAACAGCCCAAAGGGAGGGAAGGGCAGCGGGGCCGCTGCGAGGGGCCAGGCCGGAGCCCGGCCCGCCCGGCGCGCTCCCCTCCTTGGGCCGGGATCTCCGCAACGGCCTCGCCGCCCTCCCCGGGCCGGGGAGGACACGCCGGGCGCGGAGCCCCCGCGGGACGAGGCGGCCGCGCGGCCAGGGCCGGGCCGCCCCCGCAGGCCGCGACGAGAAGGGGCCCCGCGGGCGGGCCCGGCGGGCGCCGCCGCCATCGCCGCGGACAAACCTCCAACGGCCGCTTCCTCTTCGGCCTCGGCGTCCCGGGCGCGGGGGGAAGCGGGGGGCGGAGGATCCGGTGCCCCCTCCTCCTCCCTCCTCCCGCGGTGCGGAGGCGGCGGCCACCAGGCGCGCAGGCGCGTCGCGTCCCCCGCCGCCTCCGCCCGGCGGCCGTTACGAGGCGCCGCCGCCGCCGGCCCCCAGCGCGCACGCGCGCAGCGGCGACCGTTGGGGATGGAGGCGCCTCGCGCGCCCCGTCTCGAGCCCGCCCCCGCTTCCTGTTCCTCCCGCGCGCCGCGCCGCGCCAACGGCCTCCCGGCGCGGCCAGTGCGCCTGCGCAGCGCCGCCGTGCGCCCCCTGCTGCCCGGCGCCGTTAACGGCCGGCGGGCGCGCGCGCCATCGTGCCCCCGGTCCGGCGGGGAGCTCCTCTGCAGTTATTCTCGTTTCTTTCCTGTGGTTCTCCTTAGCGCATAGGCGCCGTGCGGTTCAGACAGTTATTTGCCAAGTAGGAGAATCGCAGAGCCTCGGTTTGCCTTTATCCAGTGCAGCCTGAGGGATTGAGGCTGCGTCCGGAGAGAAACAGCAGGGCAAGGGGAGATGTCTGGAGTCCTGGCAGAGAAAAATGAAAATCCTGAAGTAATCAACTTAAAAAAACAAACAAGCATTTCTTTTTTTTTTTTCCTCCTTTGTGCCCATTTGTGTATTTCAGATTTTGTCCTTCATGAGATAGGCTGGAAACTTAAAGATAGGTGAAAATCTCAATCAGATCAATCTAGGTGTTGGGAGTTTAAAAAAATCCCAGGCAAGTCACAGAAATGATATCTAAGTGTTCAACGAGAGAAAAAGACTTAATTCAAAGAAGTGCGAGAACAGCAAGATCAACAGTCTCCTCTTACAGAGCCCATTTCATAGTTTACGTCCTCGTACAAAAGACAAGGATTTTGGAAAAAAAAAAAAAGGAATAATTTCACCACCTAGCTACATAAATCATATCTAAGCATCCATATTTCTCTCTTTTTCTCTATAATTACTCACGTATGTGCATCATGTGCTGAGTGTCTGTCCCTCTCTCCTGCCATCACCATCAATACTGCTGGCAGTTGCTGCATTCTCTCCCTCAGAAGGTATCTCAAGTTGTGAAGTGGCAACTCAGCTTATATTTCCTGGAAGACCTGGGCAGAGTCAGTTTATAAGCACATATTTCATAAATAAAAAATAAATTTCATAAATCACAGCCACCTGCCTGCTTAGTTATGCAAGAATAGAAGAGCATCGCTTCTTGCGGTCACACTGAGCAGCCAGTAAAGTTTAAAAATGGATGTAAACTTAATCTGCTTTCTGCATTTTGCTTCTAGGAGCAACACCCTTCACAGTGGGGCTTTAAGTAGAAGATGAGCAGCAGTTTTCTTTAACACTTAGGGTCTTCTTAATAGGAGCCCCAATGTTACATACATAACTAAAGGCTGGATACATTGCAATGACTTAGGGAGGTAACTTAAACACCTGCAAGCTGAGCCTGGGCTTTGGCTGCTCTTCCTGGTGTTTTGATAGTTCCTCCCACTGATTGATGGGGAAGCCCCCCCGCCCCTCAGTGCTGTTAAATGGGCCTCAGGTGGAAGAGGGAATGGACCCCCCAGTAGTTGCCCTCCATAAAGAAGGTGAGTCCAAGGAGGTCTCAGCTAGTTTCTTGGTGAGCTTTAAGTAGTAGCACTGACTTTCCCTTTGAGGTGGTCCTAAGGGGGAGGAGGAGATTGTGGGTTTTTTTTCCCTTTTTCTTTTTTCCCTTTTTCTTTTCCTCCCTTTTTCTTGACAAAGTCCTTTTTGAGGGTTTTGGTCTCGTAGAATGAGGGGAATTTGTAGGGTTTTGGTGCTTACGTGAGTGGGTGGACTGTTCTAGATGGGAACTGAAGAGGGCTCCAATGTTCCTGGGAGCTTCCTGAAAGTCCTCTAGGCGTGAGCTGTGTGCCGATCAGTAAGAGGTTTTTCACTTCCCTTTTACTTCTATAACTTCACATTTTTTAAAGTTCTCTAAGTAGCTGGACTGCTTTCTTGTATTACTTTTTTTGTTGTTATTATGAGCTGTGATAATATTATCAAGTTGTTCCCTAAAAGGGGCTAAACTTGCTCTGTGAATTAACTGAAGAAATAGAGACATGGGGGAGGGTTCTGTATTACCTGTGAATCTTTATATGACTCTTACTGTGACTTGAAGGGTCTTTGTTTTTCCTGTTGCTTGTTCTGGGGTCTGAGCATGGGGTGGTGAAGAACTCAGAGTGTTATGTCAACAGTTTCTGATATTTTTCTAAATGTACAAATATTGAATCAATAGAGCTCCCACTGCCAGCTCAGATACCACATAAGAGCATTTATAGATACTAATACTTATGAGGCATCGGGCCTTTGACTGTGAAGGACTTCACTGCTCTGCCTAGTTTCAGTTAGATACTTCTTGCTTGTTGAGACCGTTTGATCAAACATTAGTTTTTAGCTGGCTGGTATATGCTTGTATGGCTGTGTGGCTGTAGGGCTCCATTTAAGTTATTAATCCTCTGGCTTTTAGGGGCTTAAAAAAAAAAAAAAAAAGGTTTTTGGGGAAGCCTGGAGGAAGCTGGACAGAAATATGAGGAGCTGTAAATAAAAGGTGAACTAAAATATTTATCTCAATAGCAATATTAGTTTTTCACCTTTTACTTAGAGTGCATCTTCCTACTGTTCTCCCCCCGAAAGAGAGGGGTTTGGGGCTAGAGATAAGGATAGGGAGGGAAATATCTGTTGAATTCTGATAGGGCAGGAAAGTGTCAAGTCACAGGTAATACTTAAGTGGCTGATCCTTGCTATTTTTTTCTTTTAGTGTTTAAAAAAATGAACACTGCCTCCAACTCCGAAAGTGGATCATACTCCACAAACCACACAAGACCCTTCTTTTATGCCCAGCCAACAGCACAGCAGCCTTTTCCAAATCCATGGTACCTCAGCCATGCATACCCATACTGTGTACCTGCTCCAGGTAAGGTAAAGGAGAGACATGCACAGGAATTAAGTTTAGTAAACTAGTACTAGAGGGGAGGAGAGCAGTGTGTGTGTGTGTGTTTAAAAGCTTCTTGGGAGTTTAGAGTGGAGTCAGTGTAATCTTATAGTCTTCAAAGATTCAGATTTTGAAGTGGTAGTTAACTGTAGTGTTATTGAAAGACCTGTTTCTGCAGAATGGAATTTAAACAAAAATACAGGGCTCTACAATATGCCAAAGAATGAATGCGTGTGTGTGTGTAGATGACCTTCATAATGTGCACACACTATATGCTTGTATAAATTTAAAGTGCCAAAGAAACAGCATTGCTTAATATATAATGCAAATAAGTATATGTCAGCTAATTACTACATGTAACTGGACTTAAAGTCAACACTGGCTTGATGAGAAAAAGAGCAGAAAACCTGGAAAGCTGATCCTGGGGTTTCTGTATAGGACTTTCTTTCCAATGCTGGCAGTTGCAGTGTATCACTTCAAGGGGCAGATCTTGTAGAGATCCCTGCATATGTCAGCAGTTATCCAGAACAATTTATTTTGGAAAGATAACTTGTATTTTTTTCTTTCTTTCTTTATCCTTGTTGTCTAGGCTTCCGAAGTGGAAATGCGTATTTTCCATTTTATTCAGTTGCACTCCATGAGTACCCTGGATTTTTTGTTCCGCAGCATCCAATGCATGCAAGAATTAACAGAAGGGCTTATTTTAATGCTCCCCCACCTTCCCCTATGTTTTATCATGCAACACGATTCAGACATTATAGTACCCCTGGGAAGAAAACAGAGACGAAGGAAACGCAGACTGATCCTAGACAGCCTGAAAACAAGCCAAAAAAGCATCAAGATGCCCATATAGAAACGAAAGGTTGTGATGCAGGAAATATGGCCTGTGTTTCTTCTGGTATAGGTACAGAGACTGAAAGTACTTCAGAGAAACAAGATTCATCTGGATCTTCCATTGTGGTAGACAGAGAGTTCCATAATAAGAGCCCTTCCAGCTCTGCGCAGTATAGAAACCTTCCTTCTGGAAGCTATGCCTTTGAGAAGGAGGAAGTGAGAATAGAGTATGGGAATGGCTCTCCAGCAATTCAGTTGTGGAAGTCCTTTAAAGAAACTATTCCTTTGTACGATGTGGCAAGTGGTAAGCCAGTCCCAGAGAATATAGTGCAGCGTGACCTGTTTTCTGTTAGTTCGTGTGAAGGAGTGATATATGGCCCTCATGAAGGGGAGAAATTGGTGCCGGGAACTTACATAGAAGAGAGAAAAGCTGTTCTGCCTTCAAAACAGAGTGTTGAAGCTGTGCAAGAAAAGGAGGACCAAGAAAATGAAGCGAAGCTGGATGCAGAAAAGCAGGTGACCACAAGCCAAAGGGTGCAATCCCCTCCAGGTGAAGCCATGTCGGTGCAAATTGAGTTGGCCAGGTCTGTTGGCATTGACCAACCAGTGACAAGGCAGGATGTGCTGGTAGCCAAGAAGTCTTCTAGCTCTAAACGAACTGGAAGCTCAAAAACTTCTCAAGAAGAGTCCAGCTTTATTCAGCAATCAGGACTGCTTCCATCTAGCATGGAGGTCATGAGTGACTTGAGTTTCCAGCAGAAAAAGCTGAATCTGAGCCACAGCGCCACCAATGAGAGTCAAACTGATAAAAGTATTTGGTGTGATGAGTCTGTGGAGAAGTACGTTCCTTCTAGCAGCTGGCTGGCTTGCTTGGAGGGCATGGATGCAAACTACAGCTACGATGTGTGTTTGTCCCAGCGGAAACGTCAAAGCGTCCTCAGCCTCTCCTCTGAGGAGATGTCCTCTAGAGAAGAAGGTTCATCGCTTGATAATGCCCCAGTGTCCTATTTTGTCCCTGACTATGTGCTTCAGAAAAGCACGTATGCTTTCCAGAAGAGTACAGAGGGCTTGGAGAAAGAGAAAATTAGAAGCGCCGGGTCCCTCAATGAAGATGAAGTGGTTGTAAAGGAGCAGATCAATAGTTTTGACAGCCAGGATGTCACCAAACCTTCACCTATGAAAATTAAAGAGGATTCTGGTAAAGGTAGAAA